AATAGAGATTCAGAAAGAAAGAGTCGACACCCCCCCCCCGTTTCCACCCATACCTGTCTGCGATAGCTGGAACCCCCTCCCCTTGGCGTCTGGTCATACTGATATGGTATGTGTACATTTTAATCAAAGATAATATATATATATAGATACGCTGGCAGGTAGAAACCTCCTTCCTAAATTGCTTGTAGCAGACAACTAATTTTTGTCCCTCTGAGATAATGTGCAAGGAGAGACATCTATAGCAAATTGATTACTTTCTATATTCCTTTCTCCCCCCTGCTGCCATCTGTAGGAAATACGCATTTGTGTTATATAAACATACAGTACGCGTATTGCATCCTGTATAGTTCAAGTGTTGCTATCTGGACCTGTTTGACCAATAAAATTAAATTTCTAGGTAACACAAATATACATATTTGTTAAATAAGTGATATCAATTTAATCAAACGGTTTTTATGAGATATTTAAATAAAATTAGATTTTTTAATTGGTACCAATTAAGATCTTGGTTTATCTTGGTTGATGGTTTAAAAAATTATTAGAATTACTGTTTTTTATGATTTCTAGTAAACTTTTTCATACAGGTTGACAATCCTCAAGTTTAATGAGGTTGTCTTTAATTTGTAATCAAAATTAGTATTACAATGTGTTGTAGTAATACCACTTAAACTCTGGAAAAGGAAGACGAAATTAAGAAATTTTACATTTGCATTTTCTGTTATAACGCAAATGATTTAAAATTGCAAAAAAATCCACTTATTAATCAATAGATTTTTATGAAACTTTAGAATAGAAAAAAAACTGATTTTTAAATCGATTTTTTTAAAAGAAAAAAATGTTAAATAATTTTATTTCGCGTTGTTTGTGTTAGAAAAAATTTAGCACTTGTCTTACTATATTTGATATTTTTTAACCCCAAACATGAACTCTGAAAACATTTTCATTGTGGTTTATAAACTAAAGCTAATGCCGCTTTTTTACTCACTTTGTAAGTAACATAAAAAAAAACACAAAACAACTAAATATTCGCCACAAATCATAATTTTCTAATCTCTACAGCTTTGCAAGCTGGTGTTGCAGACTTTTGATATTTCTAGCTATGACTTCTGTTAGATAAGAATGTCTAAAGGAATTGAGTTGTTCACAAACTTATATGTCTAATCCCTATATCTTTGCTTCCCAATGTTGTAGACCTTAGATATTTCAAACTATGAATTCTGTTAGACAGAAGAAAAGGGTCAGTCTGCATTTCGTAAAAAAAGAAAAAAATGACCCTAAACTAATCTAAAATAATTTAAAACTACTGCTCCACATGCAAAAGTGGTTTGCTTTGCCGAATTTTAACTCATTTTATGAAGTGTCCCAAAACATGTCTATTTTTTAAGCTCGTCAAATACACGATGATAATTTCAAGTAATCCTCCATTTAAAGAGGGCCATGCTCAATTCCCAATGATAACGTGTATACCTTTATCTGATTGATGGTTTGAAAATTAGGAGTGTTTTCCTATCTTGGACATTAAGGGTGATTGATTTGTGACTTTTTTTAGAAATCAGCCAGCCACCCACCTGAGGTCGCTGCGTTTTAAATTAAAAAAATATTGAAATAAAAATAAAATTTCAAAATCGTCCATGAGGTTGCAAATTGACAATTTAATATTGGAGAAATCGCCGTAAGGCCTAAAAGGAAATATTTCAAAAAATAAATATGATACATAATTTTCTTGGAAATTTCATGCTGAATTCAGATTCGAAAACCATTTTTAAATATATTAAAATTTAAAGAAGTTATGACCAAATAACGGTATTGTATTCCGGTTTTTTAACTTTTTAATGTTATGAGTTTTTTAGCTCTAACTCACTCAATTTTCAATTTTTTAAACGCTTTTAAGATTTGAATTCAGCATTGAATTTCCAAGAAAATGATGTATAGCATGAAAAATAAAAAATAATTTTTTTTTGTGGCCTTACGGTCAAATCGCAACCCTATGGACGATTTTGAAATATTTTTTATTGCAATATTTTTTTAAAGTTAAATCTCAGCGACTTCCGGTGGGCAGTTGGCTCTATTCCAATATTGATCACCCCTACTGGACATGCCACTCCATAAATGGAAGGTCACTTGAAATTACGTCACTAGTCCCTTTAAGACACACTTTGAGTTTAAAGTCTAATGCTAAAAACTTTCATTCACATTTTAATACAACATTTTAATACAACGCAACGGAGAGCACATTTTTTCAAATCTTTCTTAGAAACGAAACGAATAAACAGTTTTGATGGTCAGTTGTAAAAAAGTGTAACAAAAAAGTTTTCACAATAACGTTTCGATAAATCGTAACGTAAGAAAAGGTGCATTTTAGTAAAATTTCTAAGCGTAATAAAAAGAGTTTATATTGGAAAAGTTATGATACAACGTAACGTTAACAAAAAATATTCTGTACACTGAAATGCATTGAACTCTGCCCCAATGACGTTCTATTAAAGCAAAACGTTGTCATCTTTTAGATTTTTAACCAAGTGAAAGTGTAACATAAGGTCTCTGAAAATATTTACCTTGCATGAAAGTGGAACGTTAAAAAATTGTGGTTATATTGCATAAGCTTTAACGCAACGTTGGGAAAGTTTTTTAAAACGGGAAAAGCAAAAGCGCAACGGAGCTTACTGTTTTTCACTAACATTTACTAAAGCTTAACGTTGTATAAGGTATTCAAGTGCAGAAAATTCATTACGTAACGTTACTCTATGCCATAAAATTTCATAATGTGCAACGTAACGTTTCAAACGTTTATACTTTTGATGAACACTTGTTGAACAAAATCATTTTAAACTCCCCAGAGCCTTTGAAAGTCGTCTTTACCAGGTTTGCCAAGGATTTATTTCTCTGACGGAGACATACACACCAAACCCAACCCCCCCCCGACCCTGAAACTCAATTGTGTACCAAAACCGCTCATGTTAAAGTAAAATAAGTTAAAATATCAAGTGAAAACAATCTTTCTTCTTTTTTTTAAACAAGCAATTATTTTCAGAAGACAATTATGTTTTAGTCACAAATCAATCACCTCTCTATTTCGAGTGTGTTAAGACCTAATAGTAAGTTACCCTTTCAAATACAATCATAATACTAGCAACGAACAATGTTCGGAACTTTTTTTTCAATAGTATCAACTTATCAGTTTATAAATATTTACTCCGCTCATTCAACAACCTTAAACTGTATCCTTACCATTTGTGTTTCTTAAAGTTGATCATTTGCCATTTTTTTTATTAAAACAAATACTCGCATTTTGTAACTCCAGAAACATTGTAATTAAATCATCCTTGTTTCAGGTTTGAAATATATTTTGCGACTAACAGTTTTAACACATCGGAGAGAGTCCTAGAGAAGCTTAATCACCTTGTGTATGCCTTTACAACACTATCGTAACGAAAGCTAAAATCTAGAAAAATCAAAACGTTGACATCTCTAGCGCATACTTTGTGAACATTTACATGAACTTCTTTTCAAAGGGACTGACCAAATCCATACCGAGTGATAATTTTATTTCCTTTCTATTCTAATCTCTGTTCTGTGCTCAGAAGTGTACAAGTGCTAAATTCTTCTGAAAAAGCTTCAACTTCCTTTAAGGTTTTTGAAATTTTTAAAACAGTTCATGGAAGACAGCTGCATCTGAGGAAAATGTACAAAACTGAAGAGGGAGCAGCATACAGGGATGGAGCGGCTTCAGAGCAGCATACAGGGATGGAGCGGCTTCAGAGCAGCATACAGGGATGGAGCGGCTTCAGAGCAGCATACAGGGATGGAGCGGCTTCAGAGCAGCATACAGGGATGGAGCGGCTTCAGAGGAAGCCAACTTTTTTAACTAGTTAATAAATTAATACAACTTTACTCGAAAGGAAAATGATGAAATTGTTACATGTTAATTACTGTTCAAAGGAATTGAGTTTTTGCCACAAACTCTGATTTTCTAATTTCAATATCGTTGCAACCCAATATCGTACCCTTTTATATTTCAAACTATGAATTCTGTAGGATCAAATAATGTAAGTTTGAAATATCAAAGGTTTAATCATAAGGTTGCAAAGATATAGGTTTTACAAAAACTGAATGTGTGGCAAAGACTCAATTCCTTTGTATTCAAATTCCGAGCATGTCTATTTTTTCTGAGCATACCATATATTACGTAAAACTTGTTTTCTGAGCATACCATATATTACGTAAAACTTGTTTTTTTAAATTTTAAAGTAACAAGTTCATCCTCAAGTTACTTGATAATTTTTTAAAACTCTATAAATAATCAATTTTTATCTTTAAGCCCTTGAGAGCTTATTTCCCGAATTGCTTTTCTTAGCTCAATTTTTAGAAATTAAAAAGAATAATTCAAATGTTTCCATCATTTTCAAAGCACATTTTAGGGCCATAATCTTCTTTTTATATGCTTTAACTATAACTGAAAAGCTGGAAATAATTTTTCCACAAATTAAATTGATCCTGCTTTTTAGTCTTTTCTCCGTATATATCAGCAGCAGTGGAGTACAGTATTTTCTAGAGTGGGTAAATTTAGAGACAGGCGCAGCACACAGAAATTTAGTTTCCACCACCCCAACCGGCAAATTTTATTTTACGCTCAAATGGATGTTTATTAAATTATTGGACAAAGTAAGGTTTGATTTCAATTTTCGGCTCTTCAGAAGCTTAATTAAATACATTTTTGTAATTGCTAAACCAAATGGTATCTCCCCCGGCTCCACTCCCCCTCCTTTCCTAGCTTCAGTAGCTAAAAAAACATCCCGAGTCCGAATTCAATGAATTTGAGCCGCGTCTCAAATCCGCCAAAAACCGGTTTCAATTGAGCGCCGGCTTAAATCTTAAACATTGAATACGATTTTAAGTGTAACCAACCATATTTGAGGCGAGTCTCAAATTTAAGCCACGGCTCAAATTCTTTGAATTCGGCCTCCGAACACCATCCAAATCGTAAAAAAAAATAACTATTATAGGTGACATTATATATATTTAGTTTTAAATACATAAACTATATAATGATCTACTACGTGTACAAAACTTTGCTAAAAATTAGCAAAATTAGTATTTTAAAACAAAAATACAGGATTGGTCAATAAACGCTAAAATATAATGAAAATATTTTCCACTCTTTATGTTTACTAAAGAAACCCTTTACAGTGAACATTCAGTGAAAGCTTTGGAATTTGTTGGCTAAAATTAAACCATGAATTAGAGGCAAGTGGAATTTTTTACAATTAGGGGCAACTTAAGGATATTTTACAGCCCCCCTTGAGGAGTTTCACAACAACATAATATATAAAAATACAGTTTATAATCAAACGACAAAATTTGTTTAAACCAGTGATTTCTGAAGTATCACTACGCGATTCCTCTCTTAAATTAAGTTTAATTAGAATCTTGAGCTATGTACCTTAACGTACATAAAACGTACCTAAACGTATTTAAACGTACAAATCATACAGAAGAATGTACTTTAATTATTCCATTAGAGAAAAAAAGTTTTTCCAGGACTGAAAATTATAATTATAATTATAATTATAATTACAATTATAATTATGATTTGACAACAGTCTTTGGATAAGAACTAGAGAAAAAGAGAATATTTAGAATTGAGGTTCTTCTTCAGTACCTAGAATCTAGATTCCATTCAAAGAATATCTAATCTACCTAGAGTAAAAATATTACACCCCAATGAAAGCCCTTTATTAACTTCTCCTGGAAAATTCTTAATTTTTATTAAAATATTAAAACAGAGAATATTTAATTTCTAGAAACTTTAGAAAAAAAAACTCTTTTTAGACTCCCATGGGAAATATTACTTAACAAGTTATGAAAGATGAAAATGGTTTAAAAAAGAATGTAGTTTTGTATGCACCAGGTATATGTTATTAAACTATATGATAAATATTTATCTTTCTTAGATTACTGTACAATGTACAATTCATGGCTGATTAATAATTGTTTGTGTAATTGATAGCTGGTTATGTAATTGATAGCTGTTTGTGTAATTGATACCTGTTTGTGTAATTGATACCTGTTTGTGTAATTGATACCTGTTTGTGTACTTGATAGCTGTTTGTGTAATTTGTGTAATTGATACCTGTTTGTGTACTTGATAGCTGTTTGTGTAATTGATAGCTGTTTGTGTAATTGATACCTTTGATAGCTGTTTGTGTAATTGATAGCTGTTTGTGTAAGTGATAGCTGTTTGTGTAATTGATACCTGTTTGTGTAATAGATACCTGTTTGTGTAATTGATAGCTGTTTGTGTAAGTGAGAGCTGTTTGTGTAATTGATACCTGTTTGTGTACTGGATAGCTGTTTTCGTGATTTATTACTGTTTGCGTGATTGATTACTGTTTTTGGAGTTGATAACGTACTTTTTGTAAAATAGATAACGTACTGTTTGTGTAATTTGATAACGTACTGTTTGTGTATTAGATAACGTACTGTTTGTTTAATAGATAACGTACTGTTTGTTTAATAGATAACGTACTGTTCGTGTTTTATATAACGTACTGTTCGTGTACTAGATAATGTACTGTTCATGTACTAGATAACGTACTGTTTCGTTTTATTGATGCTGTTTGTGAATTTGACAGCTGTCTGTAACGTGACGGGAGCCTAACGTATTTGAGAGCTGTCAGTGTCTGGAACATGACGTTTGATAATTTGACGGCTCAACCAGTGTTATAAGAGATGATAGCTAAATGTTTTGACAGTTATCTGTGTTATCAGTGTTGCAGCCATCTGTTTTGACTGTTCTCTGTGTTATCAGAGCTGACAGCTACGTATGTTGACAACTCTCTGTGCTATTGTGGTGACAGCTAGCTGTATTGACAGTTGTTGACAGCATTCTGTATTCACAGTTTTCTCTGTTATCTGTGATGACAGCTATTTGTATTGACAGCCTTCTGCATTGACAGCTCATTTGCGTTATCAATATTGACAGCTTTTATTTGACAGAAATATTTGCTAAGAAGCGGAATTTCTTAACAATTGAAGGGACGAATAGAAAATCGTCTTCTATCTTAGAAAAAATCTTCGGTATTTATTTTCAATCTAATTTTACAAATATGATTCCGCGAAACGGAGCAGGCATGAGATGGTCCCAGGGTTGGGAGTAGTTAAGGCGCTACATGGAATACACAACTCATCCCAGACAAGATATAAGTTTAACTCTATCTTTAGTTTTCTCTCACATACATCTCACCTTCAAACAGGAAAACAGAAACTTAAAAAATCAGGGATGAAGTACACGCTGATACATGTTATGATCTTCTCCAGAGTTGGGTATAAAATATGCATAATGTGGTGCAAAACAAATGAGTTCATCAATTCCCAACAAGTCGGAAATAACTATAAATCGAGGAATAAGTAGGCTTTTTTTAAGCAATAAAAAAATAAGCCTCTTCCTAATCTATTCCGAACTGCCAACTCCTCCAAATTATCAAGAGAATAAGTTGAAAACGTCCAAGAAATAAAGAATATAAAAAAGTACAAACAATTTTAAATAATTTCCTGACCTATATCCTCCCAAGTGGGTCCTCATCTACCCCCCTGCCTAAACCTTTAAGTTTGATCATCTTGTTAGGCAAAAACAACTGAAAACTGATAACTAAATAACTAAATAACTAAATAACTAAATAACTAAAGCAGAAAATGATTCTGCTAAACAAGGAGATATTGAATAGAAGGAGTGGGCGATAGGGTTTACGTACACTTTTCTGTGACGTATTTGGACTGCTGAAGAACTAGTTTTTGCCTAACAACAATAACAAAGGCAGCCGATCTAATGTAAACAAACATGAGTAAGTAAACTGTGAAAGTAGTATTATCTTGTGAAAAAAGATTGTGAAAGTTAAGGATTTTAGTTTTATACGAAAAGGACCTTATTACAGAGATATTTTCAATAAAATTCAAGGTTATCCTGCCCCCCCCCCTAGATGTCCGTTTATAATTTGTGTTATTGTTTACAATCTTTATTATTGTTGTTACGCAAAAACTAGTTCTTCAGCAGTTTAAAAACGTCACAGCAAAGTATACGGAAACCCTATCGCCCCCTCCTTCTATTCAATATCTCCTTGCTGCTAAATCAGATCACAAATCAGAACCACATAGAATGTAGGAACAGGATGTCTACAACAAAATTCAGAACCATTAATATATATTGGTGGTTATAGGGACGTACAAAAACTTCTTTCTCTTTCAAAATTCAACCAAGAGCATGATGGAAAAGTGAAGCAAAGGAAAGAACAAGAGTGAAGTACAGGAAATGAAGTACAACAAGAACTGTGACAGGGTATGTATACAGACGTGTTGGCACCCTGTTTAATTGTGTTGACCATTATCTATTTACTTTAAATATATTATTAAAAACTAATTTTTTTTAAAATAAAAAGTTATTTCTTCCCCTTTTTGTGCTTTTAAAATTACCAAAGATGTGAATGATTTCGTTAAAATTAGACACTTTCGGTTTTAATTTAAAAATTTTAGTTTTAAGGATCAAACTTGTAAAAATAGGTTGACAACTGTTGAGAAATTCCACTTCTTTTTGAATAAGACTAAATCTTTGAAGAAATCTGGCTGATAGTAGATAATACCCGCATAATTGACAGCTCTCTGGCAATAAGCTCGAATGTAATTATACTTTTTTGACAGTTAATGAACAATATCTGTATTTCCTATATATATATATATATATGTCGCATAGGGAATACAAATAATAAGTTGTAAACAAAAATATTAGTAATTACAAACCATGTACCAATGAGAGTAAAAATGTTATTGTAATGTTACACAGACGCCTTAACCACTAAAAAATAACATAATTTTAAATGGTATACATACGTGACACATGTGTGCAAATTGTTTATTAATGAAATGGTAATAGGAACGACACAGTACTGTACTGTACTGTACTGTACTGAACCATGTAACAACATGTTCGATAATGAAGTGAATGATAAAAAAGCTTTTTATGTGATGACAATTACTTGCTTAAAGAGTGTCTGCGAAAAATGAAAAGGGGCATAGGCTTATGTCGAAAAATATTCGATGGTGGTTGCTACTAATGTTACTTCTATCTGTTGAAGAACGTAACGTCCATACAAATTCAGAAGGTTGCATTTTTCGACTCGGATCGTTAAAAAATCAATGTAATTCCAAACAAGTCATTCAGATATTACAACCTATAATCATCAATAAGGAAAATTCTATAGAACTTGATGTGCAAGGTCCACACATTATATATTAAGTTGCTTATAATACAGACAGTTGCAGTACAATAAACATAAAACACATTATTCATCTATCAATATATAAACAAAAGTTGACCAATTGATGGTTTATTCATATGAGTTGTGCTTTTAAATATCCACATTTTCACGTTTTAATAATGTCGGTAATTGTCTTATATTTTAAAAGAAAAATTGATTGTTAAAAACGTTCTCTTCTATGATTGGACCCAGGATTTAACACGCGCCTAAAGCTTGTTAATTATTTAATATTTCCATCAAGTCTGAGCATATCTAAACTCTAATCTGATATAAGAATATTTCAATTGATTGAATCATAAAAACGTGTAATAAAAGCTCTAAACTGGTTTTAAAAACCAAACAACATCTTGGCGTCCAGATCACCAGGCTTTTGCCCCAAATGACCGTCTGATCTGTTCGTAAGAAAGCCAGAATGTGAGAGACCAGGGAGCCATTCGTAGCCAACAAGGCAGGAATCCTTTATACACAGCTGAAATATTAAAATACTATAATAAGTGTCAATTTGTTTAAATACTAGAAAAAAGGAAATTTTGTTTAAAATACTAAAAAAATTGTCATTTTATTTAAAAATTCTAGAAAAAATGTTAATTTTGTTAAAAGTACTATGAAAAATATCAATTTTGTCTAAAATACTATGAAAAAATATCTATAAAAAAGTAAGTATTGTTTAAAAAAAGTTGATTTTGTTTAAAATACTAAAAAAAGGTAAATATTATTTAAAATACTTTAAAATACTGAAAAAAAAGAAATATTATTTAAAATACTTTAAAATACTAAAAAAAGGTAAATATTATTTGAAATACTTTAAAATACTAAAAAAGGTCAATATTTTTTAAAATATTTTAAAACACTGAAAAAAATTTAAAATTTTGTTAAAAAAATGTTAACTTAAAAATAAATTGTAAAAAAAACTAAAAAAATGTCAAAATACTAAAAACTTATACCAACCTAGGAATCCTTCTCCCTGTACGGTTTGACGGAGACAGTCAAAAGAATTCCTTGATAAAAGTTTTCTTCAGATTTGAAGAGTTATTTTTAAATTAATGTTTTCCCTAGAAGTTCAAAAAAGATAAAATAAAACTTTGCTTTAAAAATGAGAGGGTATTTTTTGTCAAAGTAATTTAATTTAAAGATTAGACGCTTCTTAATTTTTTTTGAAAACTAGTCTGAAAATCTGGAGTGCATTCACAGAAAACTACAAAATCACTCTTGAGTAAGAAGAAGTATCAAATGTATTTCATGAACAGACATTTTTTTAACAATTTATTATTTTTGAATTTTTAATCTTATAAATTGGATACAGTTGATTCTTCTTCTTGTCATCGTTTCTCTCTTTCCTTTTCTTTTCCTTTTGTTGACTGACCCTGATTCTCATAATTTTGAAAGAAAAAAAATTTATCGAAACCAGTTTGTATGGGACATTCTGCTCCATTTTAGATATAGTTTTTTTCCAGTTTTATTGTCTAACTGAAGAATGCTTGACTTGAAAAGCTGATTAGAGGTTAATGCAGACATTAAAAGTTAAAAAAATTACATGAATTCTACTAAATATACTTAAATGTTGTTTTGTACAATCTATTGAAAATATAGATTGAAAGGAAATATTTTTTAGTTGAAAACTTTAATTCCTGTAGAGGGTTCCCCGTCCGTTCCCATCTGTTGGTTGGTTCATCATCCGAGCCTGCAGATTAAACAATTCTTTAAAGGGACTGTAAACATAATTTCAAGTGACCCTCCATGCAAACATGGTAATGCTTGATTTACAACGGTACCCTTAACAGCTGTATCTGATCAAGCTTGAAATATAGATATCATTGTTTTTGTTTCTTTAAACTGTTTATTTTTGTTTGCGGGTTGTTGCTTATCAAGTATCAACGGAGAAACTACGGCCCCTCTGCATGATGGGTCACTGGAATTTACGCTTACAGTCCCCTTAAAAGAACGCAGTTATAAGGTTTACAATTGTGCTTTTTTCCATTAATGTATTTTCATTCTTTTCCATTAAATTCTGTAATTAATTTGATATTAAACTTTACAAATCTGTAACTATAAAGCTTCATAACGCTCAATAACGCTCCATAACGCTCAATAACGCTCTATAACGCTCAATAACGCTCTATACTCAACGACATTGACGAAAAATAATATCTACGCGATTAGCGCGCAACTGTGGAAGAAAAATTACTCGAAGACGCATGAGGAAATAAAAAATTCGCGCAATATGTTAAAAATTAAATCAATGATACAACAAGATCTTTAATCGTGAAATATACACGCTTATGAAACTGAATAAAATTTAAATTTTAATATTGAAAAGCTTGGAAACCAAGCCTTGCCTAAAAACCAAACTTTATCAATCATCTAAACTCAGAATTTAAAAACCAAGCTAAGAACATTCCCGTGATTCTACCGAGTTCACCAATACAAATTTGAGGCAAAGGATTAAAAGGTTCCATAGTTAAGCTCGGACATACAAATAAAGAGAACATGTTCACAATTAATTTAGAAGATGGGCGCGAAGCGCCCTCTAAGGCTAGTATGTATAGATTACAAATTAATTTACTACATTATATAATATATATATTACAGATTAATTCAGTTTTCACTTTGAAAAGTCGATGTGGAGAAGGGCTTTTCCTCCAACTAAGATTTTAGTCATAGCTCTGGATAAAGGAATTGAGTCTTTGCCACAAACTCTTTGCAACCTGATGGTGTAAATTCTTGATATTTTAAACGTAGACATTTTGAACTTACAGAATTCATAGTTTAAAATATCAAAGGTCTACGACATCGCTTTACAAAGATGTAGAAATAAAAAAATTTAGAGTTTGTGGCAAAAACTCTTTTCGTTTCTAGTGCTCAAATTAACAGCTAATCCAGAAATGCTAGAAGAAGAACTGGTTTTACTAACTGCTATAAAATTGTCCATGTTGTTTAAAATATCTATTCTATAGAGCACATAGAGTAAAAGGAAAATACTTATAAAAACATAAATCTTGAGGTTTCATGATCTAAAATATAAAAAAAAATTCCATTAACTATGTAATAAGAAGCTTAATAGTATTATAAGTGCTCGCATTAGCAGATAAATGAATATGTTATATATTATTCATAAACCCAAATTTACCATACACTGATAGGCAATTTTACTAATGCAATCGACTTTCGATTTCAATTTTAATTTATATCAAGCTTTAAACAGCATGGATACACATAAATATAGACGTCAAGAGAAGCTATCGATTAAAAAGATCGAAAGTTACGTAAAAAAGTCGTCTTCATTGTATTTATATATTCGCCTACCACTGTATCCGAAATCTTTACAACCTAATCATGTAAATCTTTAATATTTCAAAATTACATTATTTGATCCGACAGAATTGAAAGTTTGAAATATCTACGGTCTACGACATTGGGCTGCAAAGATAAAGAGATTAGAAAATCACAATTTGTGATGAAGACTCAATTCCTTTTTTTTACTTTTATAGAAATTAAGAACAAATTTTATTAATCAATTTTTATTGATATTATTTACCTTGATGACGTCAGCTGGTGTTCCCATCACAGCCCCAACCAATCTAAAATATTCAAATCTTTAATCACTGAATATCAGTATTCAACATTGCAGAACAAGGAACTATTGTATGAAATAGTGATGACCTCGAAATCCATACTGGACACCTTTTATTTAAGTGACAAAGTTGTCAGCAGAGTTAACAAAATCCTTCCAGGACTTTAGAAGAAACGTATTGGGACTTTTTTAAGGGCTTAACAGAATATAAGTCAAAACTTATGAGTTGTTAATCCTGGAATCAAGCAGTTACCCGTATCTTGTGTAGTCCTATTGATTATATTAATATCCCGTGGTCGTACCCGGAAAATTCAGGCATAAAGCACTAAACCCTCAAATCTAAAAATTGTCATCGAGGATATCGAGCTCAAGCATTGTTGTTGACGGTTAGAAACGAGATTCTCAGTCGTTGAAGGATATTTATTTCCCAACAATATTTCCCTGATTACAACAGCAGACACATAAATAAATATGCATAGTATGCATAACATAAATATGCGTTTCATTTGGTTCGTAATATTGAACATTTGGTTCGTAATATTGAACATTTGGTTCGTTTTGGGTCCAAAAATCGTATACTAGGACAGACCCAAAACAAGTTTAAAAATCCTTTTTAATTTAATTATTTTTATTTTCTTTCCAGATTAAAATGGTGAGCACTGTACCTCTCCTTGGAGTTCTTCTACTCCTTGGTCAAACTGTTGGATTAGGTAAACAATATAGATTGATTGATTGATTGATTAACGTATATGCTCTATAACCATGTCACGAGACAGTTTCATACAGGGTGTCCCAATAAACATGGGATTTCAGTGACGAATTCGATATCGTCTTTTCAAATAATTCTTTGATTTAGTATAGTGATACCTACTGAGAAAGCTGTAATCTGTAAGAGTTTCGTCTGCTATGTTCATATTTTGTTTGTTTATGTTTTGACTGCATACGGTTGTACTTAGAAAAACAAGAAAATTGCAGTATACAAACAGAGTAAACTTGTCCGTCTCCACTGTTCATCTTTCGGAGACATTATAGACACATCTTTACAGTCTTTTAGTCTTTTCATAAAATAAACTATAGCAAACATATTGATATTATGGCTTTTAAAAATAGGTATTACAATGCTAATCATAACAAAAAAATATCAAAAAAATTGACCTTATGCCACCCCCAGGGTACCCAGGGGTTCCAAAAAAAATTCAGCTAATTGGTTGTTTGGCCAGCTAATTCTAACAAAAATATAAATATATATATACTGGCTCGAGAGCCCGGTATTCTCCGTTAAATTCCTAAAAAATCTAATATGGTTTAGCCTAGTTATGTTTACCGACATTCTTCTCTGAGGTTTTAATGATTTCTCACAGCCAAATAATAAAATCAATTAGGGAAAAAGGAAATGTTTGAAATTTTCGATTTATTTTCTGTAGAAATAAATACTATCTTCACATTAAATCACTATAAATGAATTGAAAGATAACTTATGTTTAGGAGATATTATCTATGCTGTTAACTGTGGTGGTGAAGCTCATACTGATATCTTTGGAGTCCATTATGAGAAAGATACTAACAAGGTTAATTTATTATTTTTAATGGTTTTCAGAACATTTGAAAATACACTGTAGACCCCACTTCACACCAAAGTTTTAAAGGGACTGTTCTACATAATTTTCAAATTGTTGAGTGTCATTTCTGATTCTCAAAAGTGCCCTTCAAACTTTTGATTTACTAAAAATTGATAATTCAATTGTGGATTCTTTTTGCAAGTGATTTGCGCCTTTATGCCTCAGAGACATGCATGAAATTAACAAAATGCAACACTTTTTAATATAAAAAAAACAGCAATGTTCATCTCATTCTTAGTCAGACCTCCAGGTTTAAAGTTTACTCACTTAGTCACTCGAAATAAAGACTTCAGTCCCCTATATACCATGAATTGATGTTAGTTTAATAAAACATTGAATAAAAAGATTGATATCCAACCTTTGCTAAGATTAATCTGAGTTCTCTTAGGAACATTACGACATAAATATCTTTAGATTAAATTCATCAAGTTTGTAATTAACTTTTCATAATTACAAATCAAGTTTTCATACTTACAACAGATCAAACAAAACTTAGTTAAATAGTTCTGAGTTGGTTAATTATGTTAAATCTGGAATTGTAAATACTGCTACTTAGGTTGGGGTTCCCTCAGATTACGGGAAACAGTTAATGATTGGTCGAATACCCCAACAGGACCAGATCCTTTACCAGACAGAGAGATACAATCCACAAACATTTGGCTATGATATGCCAGTTTCAGGTCAGTTTAGATCCTTTACCAGACAGAGAGATAGAATGCCCTGACTTTGACTATGATATGCCAGTTTCAGGTCAGTTTAGATCCTTTACCAGACAGAGAGATATAATTCCCTGACTTCCGACTATGATATGCCAGTTTCAGATCAGTTTAGATCCTTTACCAGACAGAGAGATAGAATCCCCTGACATTTGGCTATGATATGCCAGTTCCAGATCAGTTCAGATTCTTTACCAGACAGAGAGATAGAATTCCCTGACATTTGGTTATGATATGCCAGTTCCAGATCAGTTCAGATTCTTTACCAGACAGAGAGATAGAATTCCCTGACATTTGGTTATGATATGCCAGTTCCAGATCAGTTCAGATTCTTTACCAGACAGAGAGATAGAATTCCCTGACATTTGGCTATGATATGCCAGTTCCAGATTATTTTAGATTTTTTACCAGACAGAGAGATATAATTACCTAGTTTTGGTATGCTAGTTTTAGGTCGGTTTAGATCCTTTACCAGACAGAGAGATAAAATTCCCTGACATTTGGCTATGATATGCCAGTTTCAAATCAGTTTAGATTCTTTACCAGACAGAGGGATATAATTCCCTGACATTTAGCTATGATATGCCAGTTTCAGGTCAGTTTAGATCCTTTACCAGACAGAGAGATATAATTCCCTGGCATTTAGCTATAATATGTCAGTTTCAGGTCAGTTTAGATCCATTACCAGACAGAGAGATATAATTCCCTGACATTTAGCTATGATATACCAGTTTCAGATCAGTTTAAATCCTTACCCTGACAGAGAGATAAAATCCCCTGACATGTGGCATGGATAAACAAAATGATGTAGGACTTAATTGAAAAAAGGGATTAACCACCAGCCATTTAAGATAAATTTTGTGCAAAAATAGGAATAGACAGGACTTTTAATTGCTTCATTAGTTTTAAAATAACCTAAATATTAGAATTTAATATAACTGACAACAAAAGTAAACAGTTGGTCTTCAATTACAGATGTTCAGATACAAAATAATTTGGATTATTGTAATTACCTGAAGGGGTGTAGCAATAGATGTAATTTCAATAAATAGTATTTATAGTTTCATATTTGATAAGGTGATAGGTATTTTTCTATAAATATTTCACAGAGTTGGACACTAATATTTTCAACTGCAACCACTTTATTATTAATTATGGTTTAATTAAGGAAGTAGTTTTATATAAAATTACATTTTTCCTACTTAGATGATGGAAACTATCTTCTGGTTCTGAAGATGAGTGAGGTCTACTTCAACGCGCCAAATATGAAAGGAAAATAATCAGATTTTTAACAAACAAATATAAAAGGTCAAAAGAAACACCTTATATAACCATCAAAGGGAATCATTGAAGATTAATTTAAATGTTTAATCTTTTATATTATAACCTATTGAGACGTACTGAATTTACTGAAGCTTTCATTCTATGCGTTACCATTTATTAACCATCAAACAATTGATAAAGCCAGAAATTTGAAATTGAATTTGAATGATGTTATTTCTTTTGATTTATGGCCAGCCTAATACTAAATGCATAGAAAATGTATATTTATTCCTTATCTAATAAAAGTCATGCAAAACTTAAGCATTATAATATAATTCAAAATAAAAAAAATGCATAGAAAGGTTCCCTCAAAAGTATATATTTATAAGAATTAGTGTTTGTGATTACAGTAGGACAGAGTTAAAAATAATTATTAATCTTATCCTCTTCAAGTCTAGTTTTGCATTTTAAAAAATGACTGAAAACTAATCTGATTTTATCTCTTAAAGTATTTGACGTGGTGTTAAATGGAGATTTAACTGTTGTCTCAGATCTTGACATATTTGAAAGGGTGAGGGCAGTTTGTTTGTTCATAAAATAAATGGATTAAAAAAATATTTTTTCATGTTTAATTCTTTACTTTGTCAAGGTTGGACGAGGGGTAGCCCATGACGAGTACATAGAGTTTGAAATTGAAGACAACAAGATACTTTATCAGGTTTGAAAAACATGATTTAAATTAGAAATTTAAAATATTGTTGACAAAGTTCTGACAGAAAAATGTGTTCTTCAGGGAGAGGAATCAGAAATACGAGCTGGAATGATCAGGAAAATAATAATAATGATAATTAATAATAATATTAATAATAATAATATTTTAATGATAATTCTTCAACTGTGCTATGAGGTTTCTATGAGGGTAAATAACGCTTAAAAGTTTTCTTAGACAAGCCCAATTTGCGTTAGTAATATTTAAACTATAAATTTTGTTAGATCAAATAGTCTCAGTTTGAAATATCAAATGCAAAAATACAGAAATAAAAAAAATTGAGTTCTTGGGTCAATTCTTTGTAATTTTGTTTTCATTTTTTTGGGTAATCATCATTTGAAGCCTTGTAAAATGAATACATTAAAAGATTTGATTGTGATGAAGATATCAGGAATTAAATCATTTAAAAATAATCCCAACTATTTATGACTTCTCAAACATTTCTGACTGCTTAAAGAGTGAGAAGGGTAAAATTATCTTTTATATTAAATGTCAAAATGGAGATGATACAAAAAATAAAAAGAACTGAAATTAGGTGAATAAAATATATTATTGTCTTAACAGGGTTGAGTTTATCAAGAGCTATAGAGACAACCCTAAAATAAATGCAATTGCTCTAATGAAGGTAATAAAATATTTGTTAAAGGGAGTGTTCGCGAAAAATGAAAGTGGGTATAGGCTTAATGCGATAAAAAAGTGCTTTTGATCGCTAATAATCTTACTTCTATCTGTTGCGTCTATAAGGAGAAAATTGTTAAAAACGTCTCATACCGCATAACTTAGTGCCCATACAAATTGAGAAAATTGCAACATATCACTTAGACCGTAAAAAAATCAATTTAATTTCAAACAAATCATTCAGATATTACAACCTATAGTTAAATTAATTTGTTTTTAATTTGATTATATTTCTTGTCGCTTGCGCAACTATCTAAGAATGCCGCGGACCACTCACATTTATAGAAATCCGTTAAAACGTTTTGTAAAAAAATAAAATATTATAAAATATAAACTATACAAATGTGGCGAAAGATAATCGATGAATATATGTTGTAATATCTGAATGATTTGTTTGAAATTAAATTGATTTTTTACGGTCTAAGTTGTATGTTGCAATTTTCTGAATTTGTATGGGCGCTAAGTTATTCGGTATGAGACGTCTTTAAAAATTTTCTCCTTATAGACGCAACAGATAGCGATCAAAAGCGCTTTTTTATCGCATTAAGCCTATACCCCCTTTCATTTTTCGCGAACACTCCCTTTCAACCAACCATATTTTCAGTGCTTTATTTTGAAAAGTTAGGACAGTGAAAAAGTTTTCCAGCATTTCATTCCTTTTAAACTTTTAACTAGCATTGTATTAAAACTTAAAAATGGAAGTTACTAATTAGACAAACCGGCAGAATTATAATTCGCCATTTTTGGGGAAAATAACTTTAAAAACCTCTGCTCATGCTGTAATGAATATATCTAGGGAAAATTAGAAGATTGGCCCCAATTGGCCCCCCTTCCCCTAGAACCTGAGGAGGAGGAAATTAATGAAGATCTTAAGGTAAGCGCCATTTTCTTATTTATAAAATAAAGCTTTCCGCTCATATGAGAATGAGATCTATATCTAGGGACGCTATGTAATATATATAAGAAAATAAGTATTTAACACATGATTTGAAGTTTTATTGTATCCTTACTTATATATTATATAAGTATAAAAGATGCTGCTGAAAAATGTCCAACATGAAACACAGTGTCTTGCAATAACCAATCTTAATAAACATTAGAACATGTTCTAGACTTATTTTAAGAAGATGTATATATATATATATATATTTAAGAAGATGTATATATATATATATATTTAGAAAATAAGTATTTAAAACATGATTTGAAGTTTTATTGTACATATATATGTAAATGTTAGCTATAGTTGTCCAAACTGCAAGACCAAATTGGCTGAAATTTTAATAGGAAGCCCATGGATGACAAAGGTTTAAAAAATGGATTTTAGAAAAATTTAAATTTTTTCCATTGTTTTTAAAATTCCACTGGCAATGCTGGGCACTTCAGCTAGTATCTGATTTAATCAAAATAATTTTTAAAATATTTTTTAATACTGGGTTATAGTTATAGGTTAGAAAATATTTAATTCTTTCATAAATATTAAAAAAAAAATAGGATAAACAAAATTCCTTATTTTGAAAAGCAATTATATTCTAGACGATTGCTAAATCTAAATTATATTCAGGAATCCACTAGTAAGCGAAGAAACCCCAGTGGTCCCCGTGTAAACGACCCTTATGCAGAGGAAGATTCAAGCTTTCTTCTACCAGTCTTTGTAGCTATAGGAGCATTTATACCAATCCTTGTCTGCTTATGCAAAATTTGAGCTTGTCTTTTTAGTTTAATATGTATCAGTTAGTTTTAATTAATGTGAACTTAAATATTAAATGATATATAAGTTACAATATTTAACCTTTTTCATTGATTTGAGGTAAAATAGCAAAACAAACATTGTTCCCATAACTTTTTTTTTGGAAAGTTATCGTAATAATTAGAAAATAATACCTTAATTTCAATCTAAAACCCATCATACAATAGTGTAACATTTATGCCATTTACTTTTCAATTGATTTCTGCTTATTTATGACGTATAAATATCTCATAATTGAATGATAGAAACTATCATAAGCTAAAACAGAAATTCAACAATATTAAACAAAAACTGTTCACTCTGGTATGGGACCAATTTCTATCTAAGATCATCGAAATATAAAGGGCATTTTTTCAGTTGTGAAACTTTTGTATACTTGTTATTATTTGTCTGGCTGTTTATTATATCATCTCTTTGCTCCCAGTATTATACAGAAGTCAGAACTATTGAGTTGTGAATCTTGGGATCAAGCATTGATCTCAAGTCTCCATCATTTGATTTCTCTTTGATCATACCCTGCAGGGATAAATTCAAGCTTTTATCCACAGATTTAAAAGTACCCGCATGGATTATCGAGATCAAGTATTTAAGATAAATGATACTTCACATTTCCGACCTCTGTTCTAATTGGATCTCAACTTTACAACAAATAAACTTGTTTTTAATAAAGAAAAATGTCTCCATTTGTTAACAATTATATTCCATCCCATTAGCTTTATATCAAGATGCAAAAACGTTTTGAATCAAGAGACTTGAGATGCAAAACAAAATTATAAATTATCAACTGATCCATTATACAACTCATGAACAAAGTACTTAAACATCACCCAGGAATCATAAGTGAAACTAACCTTTTATTCAATCTATGAAAGTTCAATAAATCTAAATGGTTTCTAGTTTTCTTGAGTCTTTACTACAAACTCGAATGTTCTGATTTCTATATTTCTGTAACCTGACGGTGTAAACCTTTGACATTTCAAATTTAATTGTATTGATTTAACAAAATTAATAGTTTGAAATAGCTAAAGTCTAAGACTTAAATTGCAAAAATATTAGGATTAGAAAATCAGAGTTTGTGGCAAAGACTCAATTCCTTTGTAACACTATGTGTGGAGTGCCATATATGTAATTGCTTATTGTACAAATTCTTAAAAGAAATTTTATAATCTGACCATGCTTCATTTTGTTGCAGGTTTTATTCTCTTTTAGTCTCTTAGTTCTAATCCTCGACCTTTAAATTTCATTTTAAACTGGTATTCATCTTAACCTTTCATAGTTTAAATTCATTGTAGTATATTCTTGAAATTCAATACCTTCTTTCAAATCATGTAAATGCCATTGATTAACTTTAAAATGTGAAAATATCTAAATTCAAGAAATTTCTGTTTCTTTCTCTCATGGTCATGGCAGTTCTATTTTTTTGTTTTTACTTAGAAGTTATGATTGTTGTTGTCGTTGTTATTTTGTTGAAATAAACAATTAAGTTTGAAACCTTTAAATCTTAGTTTTCAGACGTGTATGAAAATGATTGGAAAACTTGTAACACTATTACTAAATATTGTATTTCTACAATATATGATGGTGGAGCCCTTCCCTCTGTTTATTCTGCAATCATTGACATATCAGGTAGAAACTAGTCCGGGTTAAAGCGAATCACAGGATCCTTTATTTTAGAATATTAAAGGAACACTGTCTTTGTCACAGGTTCTTAATCCCTATATCTTTGCAACCTAACCTTTGTACCAAAGATATTTTACACTATGAATTTTGTTAAAACAAATAATCATAGTTTTGGATATCAAAGGTTTACACCATCAGGTTGGAAAGATATACAAATTAGAAATTTTGACTGACCAAAAAAAAGAAATAAGAAAATAAACAGTAATAATGTGAAAATAACATTTTGCAGGACCAGAACTAGCCACAACTTTTGTGTCGTGGGTCTCGATTACTTAAATTCCTCTTTGATTCCTGTGATTTTCATACCCTGCAGGGATCAATGCTTGATCCTAAATTTATAAGTACCCGCATTGAATATTGAGATAAGGTGTTCAAGATTAACGATACTTCACACAAAAGTTCCAACCTCTAAACACCTAAATAATGTTTTAAAGCAATGGATCAGTTTAATAATCAAGAGCAATAAATACCTTGATTACCTTGTAAGCCGCTTGCAAATAATACAGGCAATACAATTAAGTGATTACTAAATCAATGCACGTAACCTGACAAATCGCAAAATCAAAAAAAAATTCTTGATGTAATTTGTCTGCAGCATGGGTGTATTCAGGAATTTGTCCAGGAAAGGGCTTAAATTTTTTTTCTTTCCATGGGGGGCTCAGCACCCCTTGGGGCATGAAAACCCCCTGAAATCAATAGATTTCACTGGTCAAGGGGGGCTTAGCCCCAATAGCCCCCCCCCTGAATACGCCTCTGGTCTGCAGCACAAATCACCTTAGGCTATTCAAATATTTTTTAAATAGAAGTAATGCTAAGTAAGATTAAATTAGTAGTAACAGTAAATGTTTCATGATTATTTAGCAGAATTAGAATCTTTAAAAAAAGATAAAGCAATATGCAAGGAAATTAAGGAAAGATCAAGTTTGAAATATAATTATACAACAAAAATGGTAAATTAATGGAAAATTTAAAAAGTATTTATGTACCAGGGTATGTTGCTGCTGTGTGTCAGTTCTGTAGTTACTTATTGTTTTAAAGGTATATCCTTCCTTAACCAAACAAATTCTTAACTCATTATATTTATTTTTAAAATTATTGTAATTTGTAAAAAAATACATTAATTATCCCAAACAAATTAATTCATTTTTGTATTTTGGTCTTTTTTTGTAGAAACACCGCTATAGGTTTAATAAATTATCACTGTTGATTACCTAAAAGCGCCCTTGTCAATTTTTGTATTGTTTGTCACAATGCTTAGGATCCTGATCCGGATCCGTTGGATCTGCAAGATTTTGGCTTCCTGGATCCGGATCCGGATCCGCAAAAATATGCGGATCCACGGATCCGGATCCAAGGGGTAAAATATCAACCAAAACCTGCAAAAAACACCTTTTTTACTTCTAAATCCAAAATCTGAACTTTTGAAAAAAAGAGAGATTATAAAAATTTCATCATTTCTGAATGATTCATCAAGTTTTAGGATAAAAATATGCGAAAAAAATAAAACAAAAAATTTGAAAATTATTTTTTGTTAAAAAGATGCAGTAAATCTTATAGAAATGACCTGGATCCGGATCTGGATCCGGATACATTTTTTCCAGTGCGGATCCAGGATCCGGATCCGCATAAAAATTAAATGGATCCTAAGCACTGGTTTGTCAGTTGAAGCAATTTCAAAATATACAATTCTCAATCTTAACAACAATGATTTTAATGAACAGAATATAACTTGCTTTAAAAAACTAGATTTATTTTCATTGAAACAGCTTTCCTTTCTTCAAGTTGAAAACATTAAAATGTTACAAAAAGTTACAAAAACCATAAAGTTTGATTTCAAATCAAAAATTTTCATTTCTTTATTTTAGTCAACCCAAGATAAAACTGTGAACATTTTACAGAGATAGACAGAAACAATTTACAAAACTAGATATATTGAATGTGTATGTAAATATAAAAACTACTTCAGAAAATATTATCTACAATTGTTTGTACATTGAAACTAAAAATATTTAAATATTCAAATCTGACTCAAATCTTTTAAATATTTAAATATTCAAATTCAGACTCAAATATTTGTCTGAAATTTAAAACTTCTGCAATGATGATCAAAGATGACCTTTCCTGTAACATTCGATTTCTTGAAAACATTGTCAGCTTATTTTAGAATCTAGATTTGAAGCAATTCTACGCAGTGTAAGCTATTCCATGGCTGTATTCATATCTATCATTTCCTGGATACTTCTTATACCAGTGGATGAAGGTAGGATCAATGAAAATTAAGGTTAAACGTCTATAAATACCATGACAGGATTACAGGGTGACTGGCCAAACAGGATTACAGGGGGACTGGCCAAACAGGATTACAGGGTGACTGGCCAAACAGGATTACAGGGTGACTGGCCAAACAGGATTACAGGGTGACTGGCCAAAAAGGATTACAGGGTGACTGGCCAAATATGTTTGCCAAACAGGATTACTGGGTGAATAGCAAAACATGTGTTCCTAACAGGATTACCGGGTGAGCACTATACATGTTAGTAAGACAGAACAACTGGGTGACTAGCCTGCTTGTTTGTAATTCTAATAATATAAGAGTTTATTAACCATTCTTAGGTCTTTTTGATGAATTGAAAGAAAGATTGATTTTAACAGTTTTCATTATTTTTTTCAATGAATTTTACAGAACATTTTAATTCTAAATTAGACACTGGTTGAAAAAAATCTTGCTTTTAAATGAAAAGAATGGTGTCTCTTTAGATGGTTTGTGGACGATTAAAAATCATTTCTTTCACACCTTAAACACAATATACTGCATTGTTTGCATCTACGCTACTCCTCAACAATGGAGGAAAAGGTAAGAAAAATAAAAAGCTATATCAGCAAATATATAACAAAAAGCTTTTTTTTTTACAGGGATTGGAAATACCCACTTCTGTATGGAATACTTTATGTCTTGTACAATATTTTACAACAAAATAAAGGTAAAAGTTTATTTTTTAAATACATTGCTAACTTTTGAAATAATTTTCACCACCACTAACTATTTACATTCTGTTGATGAGAATATCAAAATTTCAACCAATTTAATTCATTTCAGAAAAAAAGCATTCTTATCGTAATTTTAAATATATGTGCTGCCTTTTTACACAATATATTTTTTTATTTTTTTTTTAATAGGTCATTCGGCAATATACCCTTTTCTAGACTTTGTAAATAATTACTATCTAGGTAACAAAAAAAAGTATAATTTTTTTTATTAAAAAAATATTTAATTTAAAACAAAATTTTTCTTTAGCTTGGTTAATAGTGGGCCTTTCAGCAGTATTAATACCATCATGTCATCTAGGAACTTGTTTGAGAGAAAATATAAAAGTTTAAATTCTTTCAATTTGGGATTTTAAAATATTAACAAAAAAGAATTGATTTTTTTTGATTTTCCAGATTTGTTCAAAGTTTGCTATAAATGCGTTCACAAAAGTTTTAAATAAATTATTATTAATAAAAAATCTTTTTAAAAAATCAAACTTGTGGTTTTTAGGCCTTTGCTCTTCAAACAGTAAACTCTGGAGAAACTAGTTTAAAGGAGATATTGTAAGAAAAATATGTAAATGAAATATGTAATAAAAACAGATGAACTGTATTATATTTATTTAGTGTTTGTGAAGATTGGAAATCAAATAATAATGGAAAGATTAGCATATCTTTAATATATATGTAAATTAAACCCTAAGTTAGGAACGCTGAATAACTTTTATAAGAGTAGTAGAAATATAATCTATCTCTTTTATTTCTTATATTTTTAATATTTTAAACATGTTGAATTAAAACAAATAACAAACTAGTACCTGTTTTTAATTATTTATCCCCCCCCCCCCAGAAAAAGACAAGGTCTAGATCTACAAGGCATGGAGGTGGAATTTTTAAAGGTCTTCCCATTTTTGAAGTTTTTTTTTTGCTTCTTTGTATCCAATAAATGTCAAACCGGCTGAACCGATCAGGCCCAACATTTTTGAGGCAACTCACATCAACACAGGGAAGATTTAGAAATGCTCAGAGTTTTGATTTCGTAAAATTTAAAGGTCTACGAAAAAAATATTATTAAATCAGCAACCATTTTTTTAAATGTTTTATATTGCACAAAGAGAAAATGCTTTGAAAGTCTAGTATATTTGGAAAATGATTATATTTAGTTCTGTGATAAAGTAACTGAACCCCCAGTAAAAAAGATATAAAAAGCATTAAAATATCATATTTATTTGTGATTGTTTAAAATTGAACTGCAGCAGACATCTTGAACATGATACAAATACTAGTAAGAGAGAGAGGCACAACTGCAAACTACCATAGAATAATTATTTTCTTGTGATGTGATATGCAGATCTTAACCCTATAAAAGCTCCAGAGTCTCAATCTATTTACTTATATCACAATAGTTTCAGTAGAAGTAGATATTTCCATTTACTGATAGTGCTGAATGAAGGATTCATAACTCTAATTGGATAATGAGATAGATTGAAAGATAGATGTTACCACTGTACTATTTCTTTTGGTTTAGAATAGACAACAAACACATGACTGAACCCTGATTGGATCAGGCGCTAATGGACTCTGCATATAGGACTAGGAGTGATACAGCCGGAGGGGGTCATGAGGGAGACTGGTTTTTGTCACACTCCTCTTAAAATGCCTTTTGTTTGAAGATGAGACATGCTTTAATAAGTCACAACTTAATTTATTTTACCTTCAAACGAATTTATATCATGGTACTTCATCAATCTAAGGATTTTTTGGTAACTAATAATTTTGTAACTATAATTTTATAACTGAACAATTTGGTAACCAACATTTTAGTAAACAATAATTGGATAACTTAACAATATGGTAATTCTAAAAATTGGTAACCTGGTAATCTGACATTTTGGTAAAACTCATATTATGGTAAAATATCTATGATGGTACCTGACGATTTGGCAACAAAAAAGTCGAAAATTTTGTATTTGAAATAGCTGGAACGAAAATGTTTGTTACCAAATTGTTAAATCACAAAAATGTTGGTAACCAAAATGTCAGGTTACCAAATTGTCAAGTTATCCAACCATCAATTTACCAAATTACCAAACACTGCTAAATGTTGCCCTCTCCCCCCTCCTCCCCCTCCCTCTTGATTGAATATGTTGTGAGAAATTTTACAATCAAGTGTTAAGAGAAATGTTTCTAAAGCCAAATATTTGAATCAAATAACAAATATCTGATTGAAGAAACAAGAGATAAAAATCTTACAAAATATATATTAAAATGTCGAAGACTCCCCCCCCCCTGCTGCATCTACACACACAACAGAATACAAACCAAATAAAGACAATTTAGCCAAATTTGGGGTAAAATAGGTTTAAACATTCTCTGGACCGAGGGCCGGGGCTGAGCCAGGCTTGGGAGCCAAAAACAGTGGAGGGGAGGGTGTGTGGATAGAGATAGGCATCTAAACACCGGAGAAAAAGAGATTAAAATGGGACGAAAAAAGCCGTACGCGCCCATCTCTAGGTGAGGTACAGGAAAATCTATCTTATTTTAACCCTGAAAAGGATGGGAGGGGGGAGGGTATAACCGCACCCCCCCCCCCTTAAATAAACATTACAGTAAAGGTTTGGAGATTCAATACATTTAGTTTTGAATTCAAGGCCAGCTAATTGAGAAGACATTTGTCATTCTTATTTTAATGGTTTTGATATAAAAGTAATTTTTTTTTAACAATCAAGAATAATTGTCTGCTCTACTCAAAATGGTAAGTAAGATTTTTTGTCAAAAAAAGATAAATGCCGACACAAAATTACTAAAAGTTTTTTAATATTAATATTAAAATATTTTTAATAATTTAAAAAATNCTGAAAAATACCGGTTTCTCAATTAAAGTTGATAAAAGGAATAAGAGCCTAGACTACAGAGATATGTTTCTCAGACTTATAAAGGTATGTCTGGGGGCCAGAAATATTGTATTAGGCCAGTGTGGGGGGAGGGCGCACAATTTAAAATAATTCTATCTTAAAAAAAACTGTGTTCTAAAGATTTTTCCTTGCAGTTGTTACATTTTTTATGTCAATTATTTAATTACGTTAATACATTGCACTGAAAAGTTACTTAAATGGTAAATAATCTTTGTCTAAAAATTTTAATTAGATTTAGTTAACGTGGGACGGTACAAATCCAAGACTTACAAACGTACTTATAAATGTACCCGTCCGAAGTTTGTACTAGCCTGACGTTTTTTCTAATCCGGCGTTAGTGCCAGTCTGACGTTTGTACCAGACCGACGTTCGTAAGGCCGACGATGATTGTACTATCGGACCTTTGTACCGTCCAACGTTTGTACTGTCCGACCTTTGTACCGTCCAACGTGTGTACAGTCCGACCTTTGTACCGTCCAACGTTTGTACAGTCCGACCTTAGTACCGTCCAACTTTTGTACTGTGCGACCTTTGAATCGTCCAACGTTTGTACTGTCCGACCTTTGTAGCGTCCAACGTTTGAACTGTCCGACCTTTGTACCGTCCAACGTTTGTACAGTCCGACCTTTGTACCCTCCAACGTTTGTACTGTCCGACCTTTGTACCCTCCAACGTTTGTACAGTTCGACCATTGTACCCTCCAACGTTTGTACTAGTGCCTGAAAGGTTCTTAGTATTTTGATTCAGACTGGATTGAGCATAATAAATAAATGGCTTTCAACATTAACGGAAAGTTGGCCAGGCCTACTCACGAGTCATGGATGATGATATATGAACATTCTATTCAGTGCAGGTCAATGTAATAAACAAGATAATAAATGAGATTATGTTTTAGGGAACCTTTTCCGTCAAACCCAGGAAACTTTTTGGTAAGTTTAAAAAGAACATTATTACTTGCTTAAAAATCTGGAAACACTTTAAGAGATTTTCGCTCCCTTTCACGGCAAGAAAGTTTAATTTTTTGTTTTCTATACCACAATTTGTACTTTTAACATCATAACACATAAACAATTTAGCATATTTCATTATTGGAAAATTATTCAAAAAATTGTTTCAAATTTCAACCGGCTTTAAACACACCTCTTGTCAATCATGTATAAATGTCGGTTCAGCCGTTTTGACGTTTATTATTGAACCAAGAATGTTGAATTAGTTGGGGAAAAATGGATCCGTTTTACGAATATTAAAATATTTTTAATAATTTAAAAAATTTTAATACATATGCATCCCGGGTATTCTCAACCTTCAGATTAGTTATGGAGAATTGGACACCTTTTCAAGAACCGAAATTCTTGAGATATTTAACAATGATGTACTTTTATATATTTCCGACCCGAATACAGCTTATCATCAATGGAAACCACGCAGCAAGAACGTGTTTAAATTTGAATAAAAAAGGGAAAGTGGTAAGGGACGGCGGGTTCATAAGGGGACATTTTAAAATTAAAAATGTTTCTTTCAAAATTCGAATTTTTTTCCAAATTGTTTTAAAATTGTACAGACAACCCAGCTAACTCTTGAACCCTTTGACCGATTTGCATCAACTTTGGTTGCTGAATTCAGTAGAACAGAAGAAATGTTTTTAGCTATATAGATTTAGTAGTTAAAAAAAATGAGATGTTCGACTAATATTAAAGGCAAAGCTGGTTTCCCAAACTAGTAACAACTAATACTAGACACTAGTTTGGAAACCCTGCTTTGCCTTCCGCTACACTGAGTTATTATGATCGGACTGCAAACAAACACACAGACAAACAGAGATTACTGTTTTATATACATACCTCTATAGATGTCATTCATTTTATTCTAGATCAAAAACAGATTTTCCAAAAAAGGGAAATCTGATTGATTTATGATTATTTAACATAGGTTTTAAAACAACAACGTTTCTTTTAACACAGATAATGCAGTGAAAAATATTATGAAATCCATTATTTTCTTTCTTATCTTTCTATGTGTCATTTACAAACTAAAGTACAGACACATTTGTCATATATGTATGTATATTGTATATATATAACTAACCGTGGCAGACACACAATTGGGGTTTGGTGTTCAAAGTTTTAATTGTGAAAATTTAGACTTTTTCTCTCTTTGAAATTATTTGATATTTGGTTTGATATTTTTTAATCTATATTTCGAGTATGTTAAATTTTTATTTAACATACTTGAAATTATTTATTAAATTTATTACACTCACACACACATAAATATTATATAGTATATACGTATATTAAAATATATATTTATATATGATGTAATAAATTTAATAATTTAAGTACAAAAATATATTTAAAGCGTCAATATATTTGCCAAAATTCACAAAAATAAAAAAATATAAATGTCCAAAAAATTGGCTGAATTTTTTTTATTTTAAAGATTAGAAATATGTTTGTATTGTATTCCCCTGATCTATCAGCTGAAAAATACCGGTTTCTCAATTAAAGTTGATAAAAGGAATAAGAGCCTAGACTACAGAGATATGTTTCTCAGACTTATAAAGGTATGTCTGGGGGCCAGAAATATTGTATTAGGCCAGTGTGGGGGGAGGGCGCACAATTTAAAATAATTCTATCTTAAAAAAAACTGTGTTCTAAAGATTTTTCCTTGCAGTTGTTACATTTTTTATGTCAATTATTTAATTACGTTAATACATTGCACTGAAAAGTTACTTAAATGGTAAATAATCTTTGTCTAAAAATTTTAATTAGATTTAGTTAACGTGGGACGGTACAAATCCAAGACTTACAAACGTACTTATAAATGTACCCGTCCGAAGTTTGTACTAGCCTGACGTTTTTTCTAATCCGGCGTTAGTGCCAGTCTGACGTTTGTACCAGACCGACGTTCGTAAGGCCGACGATGATTGTACTATCGGACCTTTGTACCGTCCAACGTTTGTACTGTCCGACCTTTGTACCGTCCAACGTGTGTACAGTCCGACCTTTGTACCGTCCAACGTTTGTACAGTCCGACCTTAGTACCGTCCAACTTTTGTTATATATATATACCCAGATTTGTCTAGAAACTAAACTTTCTCATTAAAGTGAATCTTCTAAAATTAAAAGCTTCTAACCAAGTTTCCCAGTTAAAATTTGAGGCAAATCCGTAAAAAGGTTCCTGAGTTAAGATCACCCATGAAAACAAACAGACACCGAGACAGAACAACAGAGATTACTACTTTATATAAGAAGTGTATTACTTATATGCATATATTGTCACTTTGCACTTTATATTTAAAAAGATATGATGTATAATATATAAAAGCCAGGTTATTGTTTAAAGCGTATCGAATTGCAGGATGAAAGACTTTAAATAAACAATTAACAATGATTTAAATTTCAATGGACTACTGGAACTTTGTTTATTTCTAGAAAACTCAGCAAGAAATATAAGAATGGGATCTTCCGTTAGCACAGCTTCAGAGCACCCCGTGGATTCACAGGAAACCAACATATTTATTAATAAAAAACAATTTAAGATAATTCTATTAGTTTTTAATCGTTTGGGGTTTGATAGCAATTAATATAATTAAATTTTTTGTAATAAAGTAATTTCAAAATGGTAGTTTCATTCATAATAATAATTTTTCATTTTATAACAATCAATATTTATGTTGTTGTTTACAGATGGAGGAAGTTACAAGGTACGAATATGCTTTTATTTCATTACTAAGAACTAAACCGTCCTTTAGTAAGTTTGATTGTTAAAGAGCTTTAAAAGTTCTTGTCTGTGGTGACTGGTGAATTTTCTTAAAGGGGCTGTTCATGTATTTTGATAATGTGAGAGGTACCAATTATTGATGAAAGGACTCAAATCATGTATATCACAGATTCACGTCCCAAATTTCAGATATTTGTCCTTATTCGCTTTATTTTAAACATTTAATATTTCTGTTCACATCTCGTTTTGTGCAGATAGAGAAATTATGATGAATGATGACTATTGCTATTTTATATATTTTGATAATTTTCGAAAAAAAAGATTTCCTTGTTTTTCTGATTAAAAATTTATAGTTTTCTTGAAGGTTTCTCTTTTCAAATAATGAAGGAAAATAATAGAATTCAACACGTTTTAATGGACTGTTAAATTAGTTTGACTTCCCAATAAAGGAAAGTAGCATGTCCTATTCACAACAGTATCTTTATCTGAGCAACTATGAGGAACATATCCTCATTCTTCAATACTTAATTCACTTTTACAGAGAAATCACAATTGCAAATTATCAATTTTGAGATAGACCAACAAAAAGATATGTTATGTTTTTGCCCATACAAAGGATTTGAGGATATGGTTGTAAATCAAGCAAGCTCTAAATTAAGTGTCACAATTCACGAATGGTGAATCAGATCCCATCCCACTTTACATGAAATTATTTCATAAGCAAACCCAAAGCCAAGAGAAGAAAATGTTTAATTTAAACAATGGTAAAACATACAGAAAACTCAAGAATAAAAAAGTGCCTTGCATTAGGTTTTGGCCAAGCTTAAAAAAAGTTTTACAATTCGGGAATTGTAAACGGCCAATAAAGATCTGTTATTTGTTAATGAAAGTTTGTTACGATTGATGATTAACGTTACTTCAGTGAGATTCTGAGGGCGGTGGCTAGGATTGTCGAGGAGAACAAGCTCGTCTGCAACAAGTTCCCGATACAAGAGAAGGTTGTGGAGTTTAAGCATCCAAAGGACCTTGGTAGGAGGACACTATTTTACAAACTTTAAAAGTTGTGTACTTTGGGAGTAAAACATGAAAATTAGAAACTTTAAAAATTTGTAAAGTTTTTTTGCAAAGACAATTCTGTGAAAAGGAAACATCTAAGCAAAGAATATTGCAAATAATAAAATGAAAATTAATTAAATAATTAAAACAATTTCTAATTTTAGAAAATATTCTTCCATTGAATATAGAGAGAGACGGTGTTGAAGATAGTAATCTAGGAAGGATTTATAAACAAAAACCCACTTACTTCCTTAAATGTTTTAGTTTTTACAAACTTTTTAAACTTCTTTTATACACGATTCAAGCGTTTCTTTGGTTCACCCCCCCCCCTCCTCTTCCTCTTCCTCCTCCTACAAACATTTGTTTAATGAATCATCTGAACTAGACGAACTTTGCCAGAAGATTGTGGATTTGAGTGTGAAAACCTGTCATCCATATTTCTTTAATCAGGAAAATATTAATCAATTAATCAATCAATGTCAGAGAAGACAGAAAAGTTTTAACCACGATATTAACTGTGATCTTGCCAAGCTACATTTAATGCAAAAAACGTTAAGGGTCGACCCTTTACTTGGTAGTCCAGACGGGACAGTACACGTGAATGCATTGTATATTGTATTCTGGCTCGGCAGTGGTGTATATTAGTTGTGAGACTCATATTTTGCCCCCTCCCCCTTTTCAGAATCATATTTTTCCCCCAATTTCCCTTGCCTCTTCCCCTTTTCCATTCCCTCTTCCCTTTTTTCATTCCCTCTTCCCCCTTTTTTCTTCCCTTTTCCCTTCCCTTTCCCATTCCCTTTTCCTTCACCCTTTTATCTCTTTTTCTTCATGCCGGCAATTGCATCGTTTTAAGATGAAAATCCGATTGTTATAATTACTTGTCAGATAAAGGTTCAGAGGGTTCGTATAAATCCAGTCAGCTATGCAAATTGTGGATAAATTTAATTTTTTTTTAATTGGTTCGACTTTTAAGTTTCACAACGCCACACCCTTAGGTTTTACCGTACAATTTATATATTTTTTGTAGCCCTAGACATGTACCACATCAAGCTTGTTCTAGCGTAAGTTGAACAGAAATAATTAGTAAGATGCTGATAGATTTATATGCATGAGATTGTGCACACTGTGGATCACTGTGGGTACCATTTTTATTTAATAATATAAAAAGTCCCATGGAAGATAAATGTTTCTTTGATTAAATTGATTGTATTCTCAGCTGTACCATGGGGTAGATGAGTATGGTCTAGCAGCAACATGGCTTTCAGGTTTGAATATTCAGTTTTCCTAAACCATCCCAGTTCCCAACCAGAAACAGAAATAACGGAAATTATACGTGAAAAAAGTGGAAAATAAATGGAAGAATTTTTTATTTTAGAGGCTCTGAATACCAACAACCACACGTTCGAGGTGTCCCCCGCCTTCATGGTCATAGAACAGGCCTTGATCAAGTACATCACCAACCTCTTTGGGTGGGGGGACCAGGTACTCAGTTAAAGGAGATTTGAAAGAAACAAAGCGAATATCAATATCATAGAAAATTGAAATAAGAGAGCAAAATAAAAAAAATTCTTCCATTTATTTACATTTCTTTTACATGTTTTCTACCCCCTCCCCCCCAAAAAACTTTAAAAATAAAATTTCGCCCCCCCCCCTGACAAAAATGCTAGTTGCGCAAATATTTGTTGCTCAGATTTTTGAAGTTTTTTATAAAAGAGCCCCTAGCTAAAAAATGGGGGTTGAAAATCCTATAATAAACGATAATAAAAATTTGACTTATTTTAAAGTTGAATAATTTAACGTAAGGTTTTATGAATATCTATACAGTCCGTTTAAAGTATCTAAATTATGTTAAAATCCTGTGCAATTTTCGAATTTAAGTTTCCAAAACAAAATCTTCCAAAATTGACAATCTGTTTAGGCCGATGGTATATTTAGTCCTGGAGGAAGTATATCTAATATGTACGGGATGGTTTTAGCTCGTCAGAACAAATATCCGGATCTAAAAACCACCGGTAATTTTCTTCACATCTCAGCCCTGACTTCTCCGGAATGATGGTTGATTGTTTGTTTGTTTGTTTGTTAATTAACATATAGAACTTGTGTAGTGATGAGCAAGGTCAATTTCTACATCACTGAATTAAGTTTCTCTCTCTCCCTTTAATTTAAACATTTTCTTAAACTCTTCCTTAATCCATTTCTTAAACTTTTCTTTAAACCGTTTCTACTAGTTTGGGGTGTTATCCAATGGACAAAGCTATATCTATAATCTAACTGTAATTTTTACATGAATGTTATAAATATATCAAAATAGTATTGAAAAATAGGACAATTTACATTCCAACTTTTGAATTCAATTACATTCATAAATTTTTGTAATTGTTACCAGGACTTTTCGGTCAAAAACCTTTAGTTGCCTTTACCTCTGAGGAAAGTCATTACTCTATAAAAAAGGTAAAAAAAATTTTGTTGTCAGGAAGAACATTTCAATTAGCATAAAAAGCGCAAGTTGTAAACGTTTCAAATCAAATCAGACTTTAAAGTGTCATTTGTGTTCTATAGGTCCCAAATCTCGACTTTCCTGAACCGACTACTCAAAGTCTCCAATAGAGATGTGCAAAATGATCGAAATTTTTGAGAACAAACGAAATTTTTTAAAAACGAAAAAAATATCACTATCGCTTTTTTACTAAACGAACAAGTTTTCAAAAAGATTTAGAAAAAAACTATAGTTTTTTACGAAACGAACGATTCTTTGTAACAACTTTTTAAAAAACGATAGTTAACTAACTAACTAACGATATTTTAGAAAAAATTCAGGAAAAACCGATCGTTTTTTTACTTAACGATCGTTCAGTGAGTAAACTAATGAGATAGATGGAAAATTATTGTTAATTTTGAGAAGGAACGAGTTTGGGTCGTTCACAAACATTGAATGAACGAAATAAAAAATACAGAGTCAGGATGAATAATTTCGAAAGATAATTTTACTTTGATCAAACTTATATTTTCCTTCGTTGCTTATTTTTAACATTTAAAATTTTACAAATTTTAAATGTTAAAAACCTGTAGGGGTTTTTATGGAGTCCCCTGAAATAAAAAAAACGTAAAAACCTAAAAAAACGAGTCATTTAGATTATAGGAGATGTCAATATAATAGTTTACATATGCTGCTTAGCTTATTAAAAATGTTTCAAATGCCTTATATAACAGAAATCTATAACAGAAATCTAAAATCTCGCTTAATTTCTTCAACAGGCATTTAATCTAGCTAAATATTTATACTTCAAACAAAAATTTCAAATGTGTACTCCATTTTGTTTAGAAATATTTTTATAAGTATAATTCAAATTCAGCTCTTGAAAAATCTTCTCATTTAATGTTAAAATATTTGAACTAAATCCTGGTTCCACGAAATATAATTTTTCAAAATATAGGGAGCAAGCTGGTTAGGAATAGGGATGGACAACGTTATTAAAGTAGAAACAGATCAAGGTAAATACATTAAAATGACAAAATAATTGTAAGAAAATGAGAGAACAAATGGAAGAAAATGGGAGAACAATTGGAAGAAAATGGGAGAACAATTGGAAGAAAATGGGAGAACTGCAATTGGAAGAAAATGGGAGAACAATTGGAAGAAAATGAGAGAATAATTGGAAGAAAATGGGAGAACAATTGGAAGAAAATGGGAGAACACTTGGAAGAAAATGGGAGAACTGCAATTGGAAGAAAATGGGAGAACACTTGGAAGAAAATGGGAGAACACTTGGAAGAAAATGGGAGAACTGCAATTGGAAGAAAATGGGAGAACAATTGGAAGAAAATGGGAGAACAATTGTTAGAAAATAGGAGAACAATTGGAAGAAAATGGGAGAACAATTGGAAGAAAATGGGAGAACAATTGGAAGAAAATGGGAGAACAATTGGAAGAAAATGGGAGAACCAATTGGAAGAAAATGGGAGAACAATTGGAAGAAAATGGGAGAACAAATGAAAGAAAACGGAGTAATGTTTTAAATCGAACTTACCACTTCAACAAAAGATACCACTTAAAATTACATTTTCACTTTACAGTCCATTTTAGGAGAATGATAAACCTATTTCTAAATTTCAGGTGGGAATATGAAACCAGAAGCTCTGGAAGCCGCCATCTTGAAATCAAAATCCGAGAACAAGGTAATTTTAATTTCTGATTTCAAGATTTTTGGGACAATATCACTTGAATGGCTTAAAAAAAATCGGAAATGATTTTCCATTTTAGGAACAATTTTTCTTTTTTAGGAACCGTTTTTTGTGAATGCAACGTCTGGTTCTACCGTTACTGGAGCATATGATGATCTAGGAAAATACTTATTTTTTTTCTTCAAAAATTAGATGAAATCTTAAATTGCTGTTACTTAAATTTTTTAGATATTATTTAAAATGCTTAAATCAAACTTCTAAGAAATGTTGATAGTAACACTTTGTGAAAATAAGTTTTAAAACTTTAAGAATTGAAAATTTAAGTATATTGTATTCAGAAAAAATACAGAAAGTGTGCACTAAACATCAAGGGAAAAATTCATAAAATTAGTGTTATCTTTAAAAGCAAAAACTAAACTTAATCCGAAATTTCTTTTATGCATTTTTTATAAAGGCAAAATACAACTTATAAAGAAAAAAACTTAGTTTGATTCAATTTTGACAACTCTTAAAGAAAAAAATTAAGTTTGGTTGCTCTCAGTTTAAAATTTAGGGGAGGGGGAAATACTATTTTAGACTGGAAGGTTTCCATTTTGGTGTTTTCATCGGGCCTCACAAAATATACAAATTTCCTTTCCCTATTAAAATCCTCACAAAGTGTAACATATCACAAATAACCCCAGTTAGATTGTTATGAATATCCCTCCAGTTTGGTTGCACGTGGACGCCTGTTGGGGTGGATCTGTCATTTTCTCAAAGAAAAGACGACATTTAATGAAGGGATCTGAGCTTGTGGACTCCATAGCGTGGAATCCACATAAGATGATTGGTGCTCCACTTCAAACCTCTCCATTCATAACAAGGTAAAAGGCTTTCATTGAATTTTTCGTCTTGTACTTGAAGAAAATCCCCATGAGCAAAAAAAAAACGCCACACTCCGTAAATGTTGCGATAATGTGATGAATATTAAAGATTATTTTTTTTGCAATTCGAATGTGATATTTAAATTTTTTTTTTAGACGAAAACACTTTTTATATAAAATACTAAATCTTCCTTTTTGCTCTTTCATCTTTTATGTATGAACAAAAACTATTTGGACTTTTTCATAAGGCTTTGTGTTGCAAAGATCCAACCCTTTATTCTTCCTTCGTAAATATATATTTTTAAAGCAAAAAAACTAAAAATTGATGAAATCCCTGTTTAAGGCACAAGGGTCTGCTGCACCAGGCAAACAGTGCCAATGCTACTTATCTGTTTCAGCAGGTAACTAAAATGCTTGACTTTTAAAAAATAAAAGAATACAATTTTTTGGGATGTTTTCGACCAAAGTTCTTTTTTTAAATCTAAAAACCTAGGCAATTTGGGTCCTACTTCCAAAAAAAATACAACCCCCCCCCCACTAAAAATTTTCATGATTTTTTTTCTTTGGAATAAAAGTTTAAAAAGTTTGTGTGAAAGTTTCTTAATCGTCTAAAGTTAAATAAGGTTTGAGCCTTAACACAAAAATAATAATTAAAACTTCAAAAGTGCATACAAATAAAATTTTCATGCTCTCAAAAACATTTTTTTTATCGCCCCCCCCTCTTGCTACCCTCCTTACCCTATCAGTAAGACCTTAAATTAAACGTTTTAAGTATTTAAAATTTCTTAAGATTCAAATTTTTATGAATATATTATACAGGCTATTAAAATTAAATATTTGCAAATTTTGCACTTGAACTTTAAAACTAAGATTTAAATTTAAAGATTTTTAAGTTGGATATTTGAAGTTTTGGTCAGATTTGCAACATGCAATTAGAATGCGCAACTTTTTTTAATTAGATTGATTTCTATATTAACCAGTTGGTATACATATAAAAGAATAACCACAGGGGGGGGGGGGGGGGAATTTTAAAGAATGAAAAATTTGATATTTTTTATCCACAAAATCTTTTATTTTCCCCAATACTTTTTAAGAGAGGGGAGTGGGAAAATTGTTGGCGAAATTATGAATCCCACTGATATTTAGTTGCAGTATCTACTAATTGTTAGGATAAGTTCTACGACGTGAGCTATGATACAGGGGATAAATCAATCCAATGTGGGCGGAAGGTTGATGGATTCAAGTTTTGGTTTATGCTCAAGGTAATCATTTTTCGTCGCTCATTTTTTAATAACAGATTTTATTTATTTTATTTTACAACTTCTTAAACCGCCTCATGCATATTTTGTTAATGGCCGAAATAAAAAATATTTCATGGGAAAAGTTTTCAAACTTTCTTGACTTTTAACTTTTGTTGTCAAACTTTTTCTTTTAGGTCTGATAGAAATTCTTGTAAAGATTTTGAACAATTTTATTTAAAATCAAAATGGCCGCTTCAATCTAACTTGTTTAGGCACGTGGTGAGGAGTATATAGAGGAAATGGTTGACAATGCATTCAATATGGCTGACTATCTTCAGACACAAGTTCAAGCTAGAGAAAACTTTAGATTAGGGAATTAATTCATTAACTCATTTCCATCTTTTTATTAAACAAAGAAAAAACTAAGCAATCAATTAATTTCTCATTGACATTTGTTTTGAATGAATTTTGTTTGTAGTTCCAGCATTCGAGAACAGGCAAGAAATTTATCAAATATTCACTTAAAAGATTCCACTTAAAAAATTGACAAAAACTTATGAAACATTATTTCAGGAAGTGTACAAATGTAGGTTTCTGGTATATTCCGGAAAAACTACGGGGACAGGTAAAATAAAAAAAGGTTTAAATAAAATAAATATTTTGAATATATTTTCAAGGATGAGACTGCAGAGTGGTGGGAGGAGGTTGGTAAAGTTGCTCCAAAAATCAAAGAAAAGATGATTACCGATGGAACAATGATGATTGGGTATCAGCCCCTACCCTTCAAGAACTATAAGTAGGCAGAATTTTATTTTATTTATTTAATTTAAAAGTTTAAAACTATAATAAGACTTTTTAAAGGAATTTCTTCCGTATGGTAATCCATGCTGTCCCACGACCAAACACGGAGCATATGGATTATGTTCTGGATCAAATTGAAGATATTGGGAATACATTGTAAAACTATGAAATCTTCTACTAAAATATTTCACTAAACAATATTGATCAAATTGATCAACCTAAATTGTGATAAATTGTAATAAAATATACTGTAACTAGAAATTCAAGGCGCTTCGCGCCCTTCTTTCTAGCCTTAGAGGGTGCTTCGCGCCCATCTTCTAAATTAATTGTAAACATGTTCTCTTTGTGTACATCGTAAAACTAAACAAAAATAATTCGCGGATTTTTACAAAAAATTTCGCGGATTTTCAAAATTTTAAAAAATTTAATGACGATCGAATTTTGATAGAGACAAATATTTGAAATTTTGATGATTCATAAACCTTCCCTGGGCTCCCTAGATGTCCCACAAAAAATTTGGGCCCGATCGGTTCAGCCGTTTTGACGTTTATTGGATACAAACAAACAGACAAACAAACAAACAAACAAGCCAAATTTATATATAGATGAAATTAATTACTTTTTTCTGTGAACATTAAAAAAATATTTAAAGAAAGTTTATGTAAATTAAACATGTCTAACTTATTAAGGCATTATACATGTACACAGGGCCTAATGCACCCTAAACTAAGTTTGCGGGATGTACTGAACTAATCTGTGTACACTGTACAATGTACAGCGTACAGTTTCTACTTTATTGTACTCACCCTGCACATCCAGAAGAGAGGCAATGTGTTGTAGAATTGTCCTAAAAATATTTTTATACATTTTAATTAATTTGAAAAAAATATATACATATATAATATATATTGTTCAACATATTTAATCTTCAAAACAAATTTTACCCGGCTTTCCTTTTTTAATTCTAAATTTTCATGACTCAACAAATGATTTATTAGGGAAAATTTGGAAATCTCAACAGTTAAATTCATAACATATGTTCAACGCAAAAACGTGTTAAGAAGCTTAAAAATGAATTGTTGCTATTTATTAAGAAAACAGTTTTGATTATAGAAAAATAATATAAGAATTATTTTGAAAGATAAAGATCAATAATAATTTCATAATGATCAATTGATCAATAAAATGTTTTACATTCTAAGAATCTTTTAACAAACCTTTAATCTTGTGTTATCTAGAATCAGTCTTTTGACACTAGTAGAATAATCTAATTAATTGATTTTAACAAAAATAATTTAATTATATAATTTTGTTATTAATGATAATTTAGATTTTATGAAGTAAATTATTTTCCTGTCGTATGTTGATAGATCTCCTACAAACAAAGAATTCAAAAATAGATTAAAACAAAAGATTTTTCTCCGTGTTTTATTTTTTTATATTACGTTAATAGTTTACGTTTAAAAGAGAAATTTTGCCTCATGAGTCGTGACACGTATTCCTTCCCCTTCCGTCCACTTTGTTATTTAAAACAATTGGATCATTTTCCCAAAAAGAAAGGAATTTTCCAGAGGTGTGTAACATAAAATAACGGACATATTGCGGATTTTTTGAATCAGATGTTTTCCTAAATTAACAAGCGCGGCACGCTGCACATTTGGCCAACAACCGCGCCACAAACCAGGGATACCAGATTGACGCAGGATTTTTCTGCAAAAAAATTATTTTTGAAAATGAAATTTTAAAAAAAGTAATCTTACCTTACTGCGTCTGACATTCCTGTAACTCTTGGCTTTTTCCCCATTAACCTTCTCTTTCCTTCCATCTTAATCAATATTTAATTAAATTTGTCATTTTAGTGCCTCCGTTTTATGAATTCATTTTTAGTATGTACAGTTACACAAGTTCAAATTTTTCACTTATTATCTTTATTTTAAAAAGCAAAGTTCACAAAATTGAATTCTTAAAAATTGAAGAATACCTGAATTTGAGTTTTAATAAGATCTGTAGGTGAAGCCATAAACTGACCGATACCTGAACACAGGCCACCTTTTATCTAGGCTTCAAGCTAATAAGGAACTCTCAAAAATGTGGAAGATTTTTTAGTTTTTCAAGTCTGTTTCACACTTTAAAAAAATTAATCCACATTGTTTCTGTAAATAGACATATGCATGCATTGCATATGTTGAATATAATTAGATTTAATAAGAGTAACATGAATAGTTTTTTCATTCTTGATAAAACAAAGTTTTCATAACATAAAAAACAGTCAAAACATGGAAACTTTTTACGCCGAAAAAAGAATAAACAAATTTTTATGTATTTTTAAAATTTTATTATTTAATAATTGTTGAAATTGTATTATAGGATGTACAATGCATTAATACAGTAGACTGTAGACTGTGCGATGTACATTGAATCTAGAATCCAGGTTGTCTAAACTATAAAGATTGGATAGAAGAATGTTTTCTTTTTTCATGTAAAGCTTTTAAACTTTCTTCTTTATATTTTATAAAAGGAACTGAACACTCACCGCAAATCCTTTGCAATCTAAAGTTGTAGACCTTTCACATTTTAAACAATGAAATATCAGGTTTACAAAATCTAAGATATAGACATTAGAGATCAAAGTTTGTGGCAATGTTCAGTTTCTTCTTTGGTAAATTCAAACAGTAATGAAATGAGACATGCATAAGAATTCGACCACTGACTGCACTGAAGTGTAAAGAATAAAGGAGAAAAAGGTGAATATAATTATATTAACATGGTCAAATTTTATTCTACCTCCAGCTAGCATTCCTGCAACAACTTTCTTCCACAGAGGGAACCCTGTTTGGTGCCCCTAAACAAATAATAAAATAAAGGCACTCAGTTTGGTGCCCCTAAATAAATAATAAAATAAAGGAACTCAGTTTGGTGTCTCTAAATAAATAATAAAATAAAGAAACTCAGTTTGGCGTCCCTAAACTAATAATAAAATAAAGGAACTCTGTTTGGTGCCCCTGAACTAATAATAAAATAAAGGAACTCTGTTTGGTGCCCCTAAACTAATAATAAAATAAAGGAACTCTGTTTGGTGCCCCTAAACAAAAGAATAAAATAAGAGAACCCTGTTTGGTAATTTTAAACAAAGAATAAAATTCATCTCCCATAGGCCATTTTTTTGCTTTTAATGCTTCATTGTTCATGCCATTTTCAAATATTCAAATTTGTGAAAATTTAAATTTTAAATTTAAAAAAAATATTCTACCTGAGAATCTGTTTTACTAAGACTGTTCCTTATTTCTTCATAAGCTGACATACGAAAACCTGAGCAACGAAACAACCATAAATTACATATGATTCGTTATCTCTTTTAAGTTGGCAAATATAATCATAATACCACCAACAAATAATCAGTGAACTTTATCTTCTATATATATATATAAAGTTTTAATTTCTGTTTGTTTGTCCGATCATAACTCAGGAACCTCTGGAACATTTTGCCTCAAATTTTGATCAGGGAACTCGGGAGACTAACGGGAATGTTCGTAGCTTGGTTTTAAGATTCTAAGTTGAGCAGGTCGACTTTAATAGCTAAGATTATTACTTTCCTCTAAAACTCATTCATTGCTAGGAAATAAAATAAGAAGCTGGTGAGTGCACTTAGAAAAATTACAAAAACATTATCTAAAATTACTATTCAAATCATAATTACAAGGTTTTTTTTACAACTTATTTTTGAATTAAATTTTTTAAACAAAATTTAGCTGATCATACATCTGTAGATGTCAGATGTATTTGCAGTTTTCAGTTTTGCCCGGAATGGCTGACTCAACAACTGATTGAAGGTGTAGCTTCAAACGTATATTCCTCGATCAATATTTTTACCGGTTGGAAAAATAAAATTCACTGCTACATAAGCGGGGTTTGAAAATTCTGAGGATATATTGTCAGAATTCCACATTAATAATGACAAATGGGATAAGAAAGGTTAGGAAAGGAGTGGACATTTTTGACAAAAGAATTCTTGATTCATGTAAGTTCATCTCAGACAGTGCTTCAGAATACAGCCTCGTCTACATCTTGCAGCCGGCAGAGTATAAACTGGTATCATAGTGCATGGTGTACAACCTATTAGGATTCTAATCCAAAATTTACTAAGTTCCCGTCTCTATCCAGGGTTTACAAAGTTCCCGTCTCTATCCAGGGTTTACAAAGTTCCCGTCTCTATCCAGGGTTTACAGAGTTCCCGTCTTTATCCAAGGTTTACAAAGTTCCCCTCTCTATCCAAGGTTTACCGAGTTCACGTCTTTATCCAAGGTTTACAAAGTTCCCGTCTCTATCCAGGGTTTACAGAGTTCCCATCTCTATCCAGGGTTTACAGAGTTCCCAACTCTATCCAGGGTTTACAGAGTTCCCGCCTCTATCCAGGGTTTACAGAGTTCCTGTCTCTATCCAGAGTTTACAGAGTTCCTGTCTCTATCCAGGGTTTACAGAGTTCCCATCTATCCAGGGTTTACAGAGTTCCCATCTCTATCCAGGGTTTATAGAGTTCCTATCTCTATCCAGGGTTTACTGAGTTCCCATCTCTATATTTTCTTTGTTTCTGGCAAGAGGGAGGGGGAAAGAAGCATAGAGCAACCCCTACTTCTCTGCACTATTAATTTTTTTTCCAAGTAGGGTGTGCTGCCATGTTATTCCACACAGGATCATGTTCAGCTGCAAGAGAGAGTTGTAACAAGCCTGACTGTTCTGAGCTCCCTTGATCTTCACACATAGAACCAGATTCAATCCAAAGAATTAACATCTTTCCGAAAAGTTTGGATACTTAATAACAGCTAAGAGGCGTATATTTAAAGCTGTGAGTAGCAAAATCTGGATCAAGCTAGGTAAAAAACCTTCATTCTCTAGGTTAATACAGCGTTAAAAGATTAATGCAGGCCTTTAATATTTCTTGTAGTTTCGTTTTTTTCCATTTTTGTGCAGGGGTGTTCACAATTACAAGGTATATATTCTTTAAATAGGACAAAAGAAAAACTACACATAAATACGGAATCTTTTAAAACAGCTCTTTAAATAAAGAGTCAGTTGACATAACAATGACAATCCCTCTCAAGTTCATGCTGTTTCCGTCAATACCAATTCCTTACATAAAATGTTATAATTACCAATTATTCTTATTATGTACGCTAATTGACACATTCTTGATAGTGGGGATGTAGCCATTAATTATCGAAGCAAGATAAAAAAAATCAATAACTAAAAAACTTTCTAAATTTCAAACCTGTGTAGATTGCGTGTCTATACAGAGCTGGAAGAATGCCGCGCCATAGACTGAAAAATCCCTAGGAGAAAGTTTTAAATTTTTAGCGGCAACAAGCATTTTCTGATTATTTTAAATGACAAAAAGAATATCAGTCTGAGCTAAAAGCTATTCAAATCTGCCACCTTCATCTTAATTAAATCAAACTATCGAAAATTGATATTTGATAAACTTTAAACTTTCAACATATTTAGCTCAAAATACCATTATCATATATTATGCTAATGGCAAATATCAGATAGTTTAACACAAAATATCTTTCGTCTGTTTTATGTCCATCATGTTTCAGACTATTAAGAAAAAATAGTAAACAATATATATATATTATATACACATTTAAATTTAATTTATTTCAAACATACATAAATCTAATTCAACTAAAAAACTCAAATTTCCTAAAGCAAAGGATCATAATCTCAGATTCAAATTTTGAATTTAGGAGACTGTCTTTTACTTTTACAAAAATAAATAATGAGAAATATTTATGTGACTACATTGAATGATTAGATGATTAAATGATTAATTGATTAAATTATTAAATGATTAAATACTTAAATAATTAGATGTTTAAATGATTAGATGATGAGATAATAGCTGTTAAGATGGATGATTAGATGATTAGATGTTTAGATGGATGATTAGATAATTAGATGATTAGATGATTAGATGTTTAGATGGATGATTAGATAATTATATGATTAGATGATTAGATGTTAAGATGGATGATTAGATTTTTAGATGTTAAGATGGATGATTAGATGATTAGATGATTAGATGTTAAGATGGATGATTAGATGATTAGATGTTTAGATGGATGATAAGATAATTAGATGATTAGATGATTAGATTAAGAGCTAAAGTGATTAGCTTTCAGCCTATACCCCCTTTCATTTTTCCTTTACTGTCCCTTTAAGATTGATGATTAGATGATTAGATAATTAGATGATTAGATGTTTAGATGGATGATTAGATGATTAAATGATTAGATAATTAGATGATTAAATGATTAGATGATCACCTCTTCTGATATTATCCCAAGCGTAGTTTTAAACATTCCTCTATACTGCAGGTTTGCACCTCCAGAAGCAATTTCACCTTGTAACTGCAGTCTGAGAAAATATTCATTATGGGACTGTATATGTAATTTCACCCTGTAACTGCAGTCTGAGAAAATATTCATTAATAGGACTGTATCTGTAATTTAAAGTGACCCTCCATTTATAGAGTGGAATGTCAGATTCAACCGGTAGCTATTAAACCAATTTCTGAGTAACAATGACAATCCACCGGTCACGTTTATAGAGAAAACAAAAATGGAAATGAATAATTTTCCCTAAAGAAAAGAATTATATTGGTTTAGCCCGCACAAAGGGATTTAAAGTTTTAAATCGGAAAAATTCTTCTTTAAATGGATGGTCAAATGAAATTACGCCGACAGTCTCTTTTATACGATAAAATTAAATAGGTTAGCTATGATAAGCTTTGGGTAAGTGCGTTTTCCCGCACATTTAAAACACTTTAATATTTTGCAGATTTTCAAGTTTTTAATGGAGATGAATTTTTTTAAATTCAGACAACATTCTTTTAAGTAATATTACATATATTATAAATATGTTAAACTAGACTTCTTCTATTACATATATTATATACTAGACTTCTTCTATTGGATATATTATATACTAGACTTCTTCTATTACATATATTATATACCAGACTTCTTCTATTGCATATATTATATACCAGACTTCTTCTATTTCAAATATTATATACCAGACTTCTTCTATTGGATATATTATATACTAGACTTCTATTACATATATTATATACCAGACTTCTTCTATTGCATATAGTATATACTAGACTTCTTCTATTGCATATATTATATACCAGACTTCTTCTATTACATTTATTATATACCAGACTTCTTCTATTACATATATTATATACCAGACTTCTTCTATTGGATATGTTTTATACTAGACTTCTTCTATTACAACTTTAGATTTCAGCATGTTAACTTTGATTAAACAAAAATAAAGAATTTTGTGGATTTACAATTTTTTCCTGGATTTTCAAAATTTTACGAAAATAATTTTTTTTTTCTAATTCAGAGCCTCTCTAAACCTCCTTTAAACTTTTGCTAAATTTGGGCCCGATCGAGTCAGCCGTTTTGGCGTTTATCGGTTACAAACACTCAAAGAGACAAGCAAAGTAGATATATATACATACAGATAGATAAAAATGCAAATTTATTCTCTCCAACCTTTATATTACTTGTTAAGAACAAACAACTTAATCTTAGAAGGGTCAACATCTCTTAGAACTTCTAACATTTCAGAGAATTCTAATTTTAATTTAAACTTTTTATTTCTTCTACTGAAGAAGGAACAACAATTGAAAAGAAAGAAAGAAAAACAAAACAGATTCATTTGAAGAACTTGTTAAAAACTAATTACTGCACATCTCTGATACAATTCATAGCAAAACAAATGTAAGAATAACAAAGCAAATGTCTTTAATTTCAAATAATGATTCTTTAGAAGAAACGAGGAAGAAAATAGCTACAATTTGTCATTGAAAAAAAAATTTATTGACAAGTAAAGATTTCGTTTCATATTCCAGCAATTTTTAAACAATTGAAATCCCAAACAGGGGCGTAGTGGGGGGAGGTGGTACCCTTGTGCACCCCCTAGGCCCCCCTAAAGCCAGAGGCAGGCTCTAATATATTAAAATCTGAATAAATATATATATATAATTATTTATATCATACTGATGATTGCATAAAAGCATGAAACAATTTGTTTATGAATAAAATGTTATAAGAAGATTGTTGCGTTTCAACTGATATATATATATATATATATTCAGATTTTTTTCTTTTTTTATCAATTGACAATGTCACAATTTGTCCATTTTAAGATAATTTCTCAAATTCTTTCTTAATCTTATTTACAATATTTTTTTCGCAGGGTTTCATTTAAAATCCATTTCAGTCTTTAAGTGGAAAGCTGGAGGCTGTGCAACCTGGCCAGGATGCACATGCACTCCGACATCCTGGACCAGGTTTAGAATGAGTAAATATTAAAAAATAGTTGTTGCAAAGAAAACAAGAGTTTTTCAATTTGGAGGCAGTATTATTAAAGCTGTTAAGCTGTTAAGCTATTTTATGTTAATTCTAAGGCCATATCATTTAAATGTAATGCTATTTTATTTTTTAACCCTTTTTAATGGTTCAAAACAGCTGCATGTTTCCAAAACTTATACCAAAGTTTCTTTTATTTTCATTATTTAACCCATGAATTGAACAATCTTCATCATCAATATGTATAATGTAGATGCAAGCATCACCCACCGGACCTATTTATTGGTTAGGGAATATTTATATAGGGAAATTTTAGAACATTTTTTATCAACAATGTGTAACAATGTGTTGAGACATCTTTTCTCTCACTAAGCAATACAAAATACAGATTAAAGTTAAAAAGCTTTAAATAAGACTGTCTCCAGTGTAATCTAGTCATAATTGATACAAATATGATTTATGATATATGATTTACTCAAAAAAATAAAATATATTCTTTTCAAGTTTTTTTTTCTCTTTCACTACTAGATTTTATAATAGTATGATTGGTAGTTATGATCAGATGACTAATAGTCAAGTGATTAATATAGATTTTAAACTTCATTTTTTTATCTTAATACGTTTTTTAGGGGGGGTGCACATCAACAAAAATTTTTTTTTGGCGCGCTGTGCAAAAAGTTCACTCCACCCTAGACTAAAGCCCCACTACGCCCCTGATTCCCAAATCTTTTCGTATTTTTTAGCATGTACTTATCTTTATATTTCATTATATTCATCTTATAATTTTAAAAATTCTCTTTAACAACCTTTCTGCTCACTTCTTGAATATAATTGTATGCATGGATATCAAAGGAATCATGAATTCAGAAAGTTTTCGCTCCTGCCTGAGAAAAAAATCCCCTTTTTCTGCAGTCCAGTGCACAATTCCTTTGACTTATAGGATCATTTCTTCAAGGCCAAAATTAAACAAATAAGCTTTAAAACAAAATTTTAATTCAGAAAACTAGGTTTATGGGCGCTTCGCGCACTTATTCTAGGAATTGTTTTTCGCAGCTTTCTCCAATCTATATAATAAAACAAGACATTCGTATATATATATGTTGCATATATGTTGCGTTATTTTTATTATGTTGCGTTATCAAAAGTTTTCACTTTTTTCCACGCGTGGCAACGCCGTGCCTTTCAGCTTGTAAACACTAATTTCGTTGATTTTTCTTTTTAAATCAAGGGTTGCCAAAAAAAATTGGGTTCAGCCATTGATGTTTATCGGTTACCAATAAACAGTATCAGATATGCCAAATGTATAAAGAGGAGAAGATGTTTATTTTTGTGTACATTCAATAGGAGAAGACGATTGGTTCATCTCAAGAAAGTTGTGCGGCATGCGCATTGCACACTTAACAGCATTTACCTTGTCTTGGTCAGATCTAACGGATATGTCGTGGCTTCAGCAACACTGGCGGCAGCAACGCACATAAGGTACTAGGACAAACAGGAAAAAAAATTGACGTAAACACTAAATGGAACAATATGACTGAAATTTGTTGTTTAAAAAAATATTCTAAAATCAGGTATGTTGAATATAACAATTAACAATTAACATGTTTACTACAGGACATTAACAATCCTCGTAACTTAGTTGTTAAGTAAAAAAATCTATAAATCAAAAATATTAAAAAATGTTCAAGTAAGATTCTTATTGAACATTCTTTAATATTTTCTGGACACCCTGTAATAAATAATATTTTCTGGACACCCTGTAATAAATATTTTCTGGACACCCTGTAATAAATAATTGTTTACCTTTCGTGGAATAGAATCTGTAGATTTGAGAACTGCTAGTTTACTAATATCATCCTCAGCGTACAGCTTCTTACTCTCACCAGCCATTCTATTATAAACAAGTTGTAATTTTTGAATAGTGCATGCCAGATTCATTAAAGTACCCTTCAACCCTTTCTCCCAACAAAGAGCGTCAAATTCTGACAAGAGAAACAAAATTCAGAATAATTAATTTTAAAGTTAAAAACACCGGTATCTCAATCCTTATTGTGGTTACCTTTTAATCTGACATGCCACTCTATAAATGGCGGCTCACTTGAAATTACGTCTATACTGTCCCATAAAGGAGGAATACAATATCTCAACCCACCTTCTAATTATTCCCATATTGACTTTGTTTAAACAATAGAAATGTAAGCCCTATTACTATTACAAAAAGACAACCCGTCATTCAATGAGGTAGGGGTCGGCCCTAAAAAGTAGTGTTTTATTTTTCCTTTAATTTAAAAACCCTTTCCTTTCAGGTAATGGGCATTTTTTTTGGGGGGGGGGGCAGGAAGTAGAGAATTTAGTAAATTGTTTTAAAGTTGAAAATCTTTAACTCTTTAAATTCTACTGTATGTCCAAGTCATCGTGTATGTATGTCTATGTCTATATGTCTTAGTCTGAATGTCTATGTATATGTCTATGTCTATGTCTGTAAGTCTATGTCTTTGTCTGTATGTCTATGTCTATTTCTATGTGTGTGTGTCTATGTCTGTATGTCTATGTCTGTATGTCTATGTCTGTATGTCTATGTCTGTATGTCTACGTCTGTATGTCTATGTCTGTATATCTATGTGTGTATGTCTATGTCTGTATGTCTATGTCTGCATGTCTATATCTGTATGTCTATGTCTTTATGTCTATGTCTGTATGTCTATGTCTGTATGTCTATGTCTGTATGTCTATGTCTGTATGTCTGTATGTCTATGTCTGTATTTCTATGTATGTATGTCTATGTATGTATGTCTATGTCTGTATGTCTATGTCTGTATGTCTGAATGTCTATGTCGGTATGTCTATGTCGGTATGTCTCTGTCTGTATGTCTATGTCTGTATGTCTATGTCTGTATGTCTATGTCAGTATGTCTATGTCTGTATGTCTTTGTCTGTATGTCTATGTCTGTATGTCTTTGTCTGTATGTCTATGTCTGTATGTCTATGTCTGTATGTCTATGTCTGTGTGTCTATGTCTGTATGTCTATGTCTGTATGTCTATGTCTGTATGTCTATGTAAATTTGTTTAATTGTCTTAGCTTACATGTTTGCTGGACTATGCTGAGTTTGCACTTGAACGTCTGACGTCATTTTAAGACGGATTTATATTTTTTAAAATAGGTTGATGCTTTCAAAAAAACACTGAGGGGAGTTCCGCCTTCCTATCAAACCAAATTTTTTAAAATAAAAGCGAGTTCTGGGGGGGGGGAGAGGACAATACAATTTTTTCCCTTACCCTTTCCCTTCTCCTGATGTTACTTCTAACTATTATAAATTATAATATTCTTGAAAAAATACTAAAACGTTCAATCCATAATTAATTGCAGACAGTCTGTAATTCAGTACCAAAATTTAAAAATGGCCAACAAATTTTAGATTTGTTATACAATTTTTTAAAAATTTGGTTCCTTAATAATTAATTTGTTGTGTTTCTCTTCTCTATTTTACCTCTGAACAATCTATTCTCACCCATATTTACAAAGTACTGTATAAAAGTAATAGTTTGTGAAAAACAGCCTTGGATCTGAAAAAATCAATATCAAATAGTTTGCAATTGTACTAGAAAAATATAGTATCCTTGTTATATATTAGATCTCCCCTATAATAAAGATATATACATATATATTAGTTTAGTATAAATATACAAGTATCTACCATAAATATATATAGTTTATTATAAATATACTAGTATCAATCATTAATATATATTAGTTTAGTATAAATATACTAGTATCAACCATTAATATATAAAGTTTATTATAAATATACTAGTATCAACCATTAATATATATTAGTTTAGTATAAATATACAAGTATCAACCATTAATATATAACGTTCATTATAAATATACTAGTATCAATTATTAATATGTATTAGTTTAGTATAAATATACAAGGTTCAACCATTAATATAAATAGTTTATTATAAATATACTAGTATCAATCATTAATATATATAGTTTCTTATAAATATACAAGTATCAACCATTAATATATAAAGTTTATTATGAATATAATAGTATCAACCATTAACATATACAGTTTATTTATAAATAAACTAGTATCAACCATTAATATATAGTTTATTGTGAATATACTAGCATCAACCATTAATATATATAGTTTATTATAAATATACTAGTATCAACCATTAATATATAAAGTTTATTAAAAATATACTAGTATCAACCATTAATATATAAAATTTAGTATAACTATTAATACTATTTTCAACCATTAATAAATAAGGTTTATTTTGAATATTCTAGTATCAAACTTTAATATATATATAGATTATTATAAATATACTAGTATCAATCATTAATATATAGTTTATTATAAATATACTAGTATCAACCATTAATATATAAAGTTTAGTATAACTATTAATACTAGTTTCAACCATTAATAAATAAGGTTTATTTTGAATATTCTAGCATCAACCATTAATATAAATAGTTTAGTGCAGATATACTAGTATCAACCATTAATATATATAGATTATTATAAATATACTAGTATCAACCATTAATATATAGTTTAATGTGAATATACTAGTATCAACCATTAATATATATAGTTAAATTTAAATATACTAGTATCAACCATTAATATATAGTTTATTGTGAATACACTAGCATCAACCATTAATATATATAGTTTATTATAAATATACTAGTATCAACCATTAATATATAAGTCAGTACAAATAAACTAATTACAGTGTTAAGTAAGTAAGTAAGTAATTATTTATTTATGAACTATTTAACAAAAACTTGCAAATTATAACGTATTATAAATAAACCAGTTTATAACTTTACTAAATGAAGTTTGGTATTTAATACATCAGTGTACGCCCAAATATATACACGTTTTGATATATATTCTGTTATAAATTTAAATATATAAAATTATGCAAAATTTTGGCTTTGATGAAATTTGTTGCTAGATCGGAATTGGGATAAATTCCACAGGAAAAAAAATCAAAGAATAAAATCAATTGCTGCGCTAGAACATCGTTATGAATAATAAAATATAAACCTGAACCACATCTTTATAAAAATACGCTTAAAACAGATTAACACTGCATTTGTACTGTCAGCTACTGGCATAACATTCACATAGAAACTAGAAATCAGCTGATCTACTCCTAGCAGACGAGTAGAAATAGATAGATAGATGGTTAGATAAGGTGGTGATAGATCGATACATTACTCAAACTAGATAGAGCTGAAATGAGGTTACAGTGTACAAAGATTTACCTATAAAAGGATACATAAAAAGAAAGGTAGCCTCCAATTCCAAGCCATAAAAAACATATCTGTNGAAACAATTCCCCCCCCTTTGATATTATAAAAAAATTTAACCCCTCTTCAATTGCTAATTAAAAAGTTCTATTTACCCTACTAAAATTACAGTTTCTTTTTTTTTATAATTTTCAAATTTTATGTCTTACTTTTATTCTAAAACTTGATGAACCATTTATAAATTAGGGAAATGTTTATAATCTCTCTTTTTCAATAGTTCAGATTTGGGTTTAGAGATTAAAAAGTTTTTTTGGGGGGGTTTTGGTCAATATTTTGCCCCTTGGATCCGGATCCGTGAATCCGCATATTTTTGCGGATCCGGATCCAGGAACCCAAAATCTTGCGGATCCAACTTAAACTTTTAGGGCGGGATCCGGGAACCAAGGGGGGTGGGGCAAAAAAACTTTTTTGGGCTTACGCGCGCAAATATTCTCCCCCCCCCCCTGAGATATTGGTTTAGTCAAATGCTCAAAATTTAAAATTCAAAAACAAATCTAAATTTCTCTTTGATTAAAATTTACAATTTTTATTTATAGTTGCAAACCTTAAAGGAGAGGGCTTTTTTAAATGATAAAGATACACCTGAACGTACATATTCAAAAATATTTTCGTTTGTGCTAGAATTTACGCTTTTCTCGCGTAAACATTGCATACAAATTCATGGATTGATACTTTGCCAAAAATCCACGGAAAGCAGAGGTTTAAATACGTCAGTTTAACGTCAGTAAACACATTTTTCGGAGCCATACACTTGAAAAATGGAGTAAGAAACATGTGTTATTGTGTCAAAAAATTAACAAAATCGTCCATAGATCTTTAACAAAGGGGGTGGACCCTAAACATGAGAATATTCAAATTTTAGACTTCAGAACAGGAATATATAAATGTATAGAAAATTTAAAATTTTGGGCTCAGCCACGTGAACTCTTTTCTACTTCTATTATGCCAAAGCTGACAAAAGGAAAATTCTAAAGAATGTTGGCAGTGATTAGGTATTTCAGCAGGCATTTGAGATAGGCCTGGGCAACGGTCCGTTAACAATGGAAGCCACCCAACTTTTCACTCCAACTTTACAGGGATTATGAGCGTAATTTCAAGTAGCCCTCCATGCAAAGATACTAATGTCCTATTCACAACGATACCATTAAAAGCTTTGTCTGATCAAGTATATGAATCAATGTTTATAGTCTTGCAAACTGACTATTTTTAATTAATTGTGATTTCTCTGCAAAAGTGCATGACTTATAGTGCATTTCTACGCTGGAAAATTTATTGGAATTATCAGGAGAAAAATCTTTTAAGCCTTAAAAAACAAGAATATCTTCCACATTATTGATTTCTAGAGTACCTTAGTTAATCGGCTAATGCCATCTGTGGATGGAGGGTCAGTTTAAATTACGCTTACAGTTCCTTTAACGAATCTTTCAATAGATGGTACCCATATTTTGGCTCGAGTTGGATTAGGCATAACAATTAACGGCTTTTATCGTTAAAGGAAAGTTGCCCAGGCCTACTTTAGGGGGCTTGTTCAGATAGAATTACCCATCAGTTTTGAATTACAGGGGGGGGGGGGTATAAAAACACAGCTTGAAATTTTAAATGCAGGGTTATACTTAAGAAAATGTAGTTAACATAATTCAAAAATATGTGTTGTAACACAAACATAAATCCGTATAACTTATTTGTTTGTTAACAGTTCTTTAGAAACAGTTAAGAAAATGTGAAACCGATTCTAATTTTAAAATGTTTAAATTTTTGTAAGAAAGAGAAAAATCTAGCAAAAATGTACACCAAATCTTAGAAAATATATGTTATTTATATGTTCTATGTTCAACAGATTTTTATGAAACTCTAGAATAGAATAAACATTTCCTTGGTTATAAAAGGTTTATAAATATTGATAATAATAGTCAAGATTTCTTTAAAATCTAAGTGTCCGATTTCTCAAGATTTTTTTTAATATTTTTATCATTCTGTGAAAACTGCTCAAAAGATATCATATACAAGATCTAAGACTATGGCAACTGGAAATCTAGAGAACTTAACATTATTAATATTTTCAAGATTCTTTCCAGTTCATAAATATTTGGATTATTCTACGTACTTTTATATTCTAATGTTGATAAAGAAATACATTGTAAGGAAAATAGAAATAGGTATTATATCACAAGGATTTAACAGTTCGGTTATTTTCCTAGCAAGCTGTGGCTTTCGAGTCTAATTTGACCTTTTTCATAATTTTTGTTTTAAATGAAAAATTAAGACAAGACAACTCCTAAAGTTCAAAGGTTGAGGTTTTAGGGATAAAAGAAACTAATTATGGGAATTTAGGAAAAAGTGAATGATATGAAAGAAATTTTTTTTTTCAAGTAGAATTTATTAGAAGTAATCCTTCCCTGAAATAAACTAATAAAAACAGAAAAATTCGTTTCATGGATTTTTAGAAACATATTCTGTAATAAGTTAATTTAAATTTATTTTATTAAGATGTAAAAATACTGTTTAAAATTCATAACAAATCATCTTTTTATATATAATAGACAATACATAAAAGGCACTAAGTAAAAGGATTCCTGAGAAGATGGTGAGATTACAGTAATTGTAATTACATACACACAAACCTGACAGCTTGTACGAAAGATAAGTTACATAAATTAACAACACTGAATTCTCATGTTTGATGTTTACAAATGTGTTTGTTGAGCACGTAATTATTTTTAGTCTGTACTGCACTGTACTCAGTACTGTACTGTAAATTTTAAACTAATCGTAAAATGAACTAATAAAACAATCTTATTTTGGCAAGAAAAAGATTCGTTAATTATCCTTTATATAGAGATTTCTTGGTATGGTATTAACTAATAAACAAATAATTTCAAACCAGTTTTAAAACCTGTTTAAACTTAGTAACAGCTGGTTAAAAATCACCTAAAACCGGCTTAAAAAGTAGCGTATAAAAGTGCATGGTTTAAAACTGGGTTGGATAACAAATAAATAATATTTTTTTTCTTTCTCTAAAATGAGAAAAATCGATTCGAGTTAGGAAGGGTTTCCTCAATGTGTACTTTTCTGTAGCGGTTCAAAGATTGTGATCATTTCAAATGAGGATTAAGAACATTTATGCAGCTTTCAATATAAAAAATAACATTTTTCAATATAATTATTGCATAATATTGGATGCTTATCGACTTTAAAATTCGAATTGTTAAATCCAAT